CTCCATCTCCGCGCGCAGGAGCCAGCGCTCCCAGCTCCAGCCGGCGGCGATGCCCGCGATGGCGGCGATGTTGTCGGTTGAACCGGAGACCATGGCTTCGAGCTCGAGGGTTTTGGGCCTTCAGTACTAGAAGAGTTGGAGAGATCGATGCCGCTGTCGCTGTCCTTGAGGGGCTTGGACATGGTGAGCTTGAGGTTGGCAGGGGGAAGGCCGGGAGTCTCGGCCTTGGGAGGCGGAGCGGGGGGTTTGGTGGAGTGGCGCGGGCCCATGGGCATGCACATCCACGCGCGACGGATATCGTCGAAGCCGGAGCGGCGGAGACGGGCCATGAAGGAGCGCGTGGGGTTCGGGTCGTAGCCGAGGGTTTGCAGGGCGAAGCCGAACTCGACGGCCTTGGCGTTGCCGAGCGGGCCGGCGTTCATGATGTCCGCGTCGAGGACGGAGAACTCGAGGTAGCCGCCGGGCTTGAGCACGCGCATGCACTCCTTCAGGCAGGCGTCCCACTCGTCTGCGCCGTTCTCGCCGAAGAGCTTGAGCACGGCGTGCAGCTCGCGCGCGGAGATCAGGTCGAACTGGTTGTCGGAGAAGGGGAGCTTGGTGAGCCGGTCGACGGCGACTTGGCGGTGGTTGGGAGGGCCGCGGATGTTGCTGTTGCTCAGTTGGCGGAGCGTCTTAGTGGTGACGGTGTAGATCTTGGTGTTGGGGTATTGAAGGGCGCAGTGCCAGGCCCAGTCGCAGGCACCCTGGCCGGCGAGGTCGAGGATGCGAGCGCGGTCGCGGCTGACACCGTTGGCGCCGGGGGCGAAGCGGCTTTGGCGTGCGAGGCGCTTGGCTACGGGTGCGCAGATGAGACGGCCGCCGTTGAGAAGCTTGGTGGCGGCGACGTGCCAGGTGGCCATGTTCATCTGGCTGCGTGCCTCGGCCTCCTTCTCGGCACGGAGCTTCTCCGGGTCGTCGACGAGGACGTCGTCACCGCGGGCTACGTTGGCGCTCATGCGCTTCTTGGCTGACTGGGGAACGACAGACAGCTGGAACTTACCAAGGAGCTGGTTGCGGTGAGCATCCTTGAGGGCGACACGCTGAGCTTGGAGGGCCTCGAAGCGTGGTTGGCGGTTGACGAAGACGTCGTTGGGGCAGGTCTTGACGGCGGCATCGGTGAAGGCGCGGTAGAAGGCATTCTCCATGCGCACCAGCTTGGAAGGAAGGGACTTGGGAACACTCTCTTTGATGGTAATCTCGGAGAAGCGGACAGACTTCTTCTGCTTCGTCTCGGACTCGACAGTGGTTTCCTTTGCTGGCTCTTCTGCTTTTCCTCGACCTTCTCGTCAACCTTCACCTCAACCTCAGCCTCTGACTCCTCAAAGCCGAGCTTGAGGTGTTCGGGGACCTCAATCTCATCGGAGAAGCCAACGACGCCTTGGAGGTAGGCTCTCTGGGCCATCAACCACAGCTCAGTGCGTTCGATGTGGGAGAGCGAAGTCGTTTGTTGTTCAGCAACATACTTGGCATCATAATCGTCAACAATCTCGTTAGCGACGATCTCGTTACCGACCATGGGGGAGAAAGTCTCCTCGGCGATTTGTTCAAGGGCAGGCTCCTCAGGTTCCGCAGCAGGCAACCTGACTGCAGTGACCGGGGTAGCCTCGACCCGAAGTGCGGTGGGAAGCTCCTCTGGGTTCAAGCCCGCAGGGACCTCAACTACGCGCTCGACAATGTTGGAAGGTCCATCGTCAAGGTGAAGCGGCCGAGGGGGTGGTGGGGGAATGGTGTTGGGGGCGTTTTGCCAAGGGGTCTTATAAAAGTTCTCGGCAGTGGTCGAAGTTGGGGGTTGGTATGGATAGGGTTCCTCTGCCTGGCTACCCATGTTCCATGTGCGCCGGGTTGCTGAAGAGAGCTCCGAGAAGAAACCACCAGGGGAAGGGATCTCGAGCCTACTAAGCCCAGCAAGGGACCGACGTTGACCGGAAGGGGCCCGGTTGAGGCTGGTCATCAAACGGGGAAGTTGGCGAGTCTGGGACATTTCCTGAGACATCTCCTGGGGCACTTCGATAACCTGCTCCGGGGCCGGGGCCTCATCATATTCCGACTCATGGTTGGAGGAAAGGGCCTGGAGCGTCTCCAATGCGCCGGGCTGGAGACGAACTCCGGACCAGTCCTCATCAACATTGTCCCGGGCTCCGATCAAGGGGGTGGGCGGCGCGGACATGGCAGCCATCTCCTCCGAGTTGATGCTGCCATCGAGGGATGGGGGTGCGGAGACGTTGGGAATCTCCTGGATTTGTCGTAGCTCCATCAGCGACTTGACAGCTGGGGACATGGCAATAGCGGATGGTGGTGTTGGTGGAATGGGCGAAGTCATGTTCTTCTTCGCATCCGCCTGGATATCGGCTGGGATAACCAAACGGGACAGGGACAGTCTTTGACCGATTGACGCTCTCGATGACCTCCGTAGACTCCTCCTCGAACTCATGTGGCGACCAATACCATTCGCTTGCAGCATCTCCTTGCGCTGCGTTTCCTCATCAGAAATGTCATAAAGGTCGTCAAATTCCGTCACATCAGTCATGGCGCTTGATCGTTTATTATTCCACGCTCCCAAAGAGGGGTTGGAAGATGAAGTTTCTGAACTTGTGTCGTCGGCATCCGTGTCCGGCCCGCGGTAGCTCGAAATGCACGACGGTGTCGCAGGCAGAACCGGAGCGGCAAGGAAATGCAGACCCCGTGGCGTAGGGAAATGGTCGCTCAAGGGAGAAAAAGGGGCGAGCCACTGTTCGATCTTTTGGTTGACAGGCCAGTTGCTGCTGTTATTGTTCTGGAGATTGTTGAAGTGACCCCTTTGCTCCTGCTGCTGCTGCTGTGTCTCCGTATCGGTTTGTTCAGGTTCCTCCATTATAGGATTAAGAGTCCGGGCCATCCTCCGCCTGCCCTGCGGGGAGGGTGGCCGGTATGTAGTGCTGGGCAAAATCAGAAGGTCCGACATGGTGTTGGTGTCGTGGTAATATAGGATCGCTCTGATATTGATTAAAAAGACTGGAAATAGAGCTGACCGGGAAAATGGAATGACGCCGGCGTCGATGCAAATGCAACAGTAAGACGAAGAGTATGGAAATGGGGGGTAAAACGATGGACCGGCTTCGGTCAACGAAGCTCTATTCCTGTATTTGCGCAGAAAGGCGTAAGAAGAGAATGGAGATCTAAACAAGACTGCTCAACGCAGCCGGTCTGGGCCACGCGATATTATAAGAGACAAAGAAGGATGGATGTGTGATGGCGACGGCAGCGTCCACTTGGACTGGCTGTCGGCCGATTCCCACCACAGCGGCTAGCAACACTCTCTAGCACCATATGAGAGCCGGATTCCCGCTGATATTGTCCCATGTTCTCCCATATTGCGCCCCCCCGTTGTCGCCCGTTGACGTGACTCTGGTGGCCGGGCCCTGGCAGTCAACGAGACTTGGCTTCGCCCTTCCCAGTAGTTTCACAGGGTGGTCGCAGCAGTCGACCGCAACTAGCTTAGGTTGGGCAGCACCACGAGTCCATCATGACCGGTTGACGAGGGTGGGAGAAGATTGTGCGACCGAATCAGGTTTCGCAGGAGGTCGACCAAGAAGAAGTCGGCGAACCAAGCGTGCCATGCAAAGACAAGGCGCGCGCCAATGGGGCCTGTCCATCGACAGCGTTGCAGAGAGTACGACCAATGACATGGCCGGGAACGACGCCGGCACCCAGCTGGGCGCTTAAAACATCGAGTCATCCACCGTGATTGGACTCAGTTCTGTCCACCTCCAGATTTTGCTAGTGTAGACTCCATACGGGTACTTTTCCCAACCTCTGTAATTCCCAAACTGGTCAGTATGAAGGACATTGAAGATGGGGATCCGCAGACGGTGAAGGATCAAAAAGATTTTGAAGAGATTGAACAGGTAACCACATGATAGGTAACATGGTCCCTTGCATTCGTGATCCAGAGATCGACGTTACCCTGGATCCCGTTGATGGTGCAGCCGAGGATCGATGAGAGGAACTGAACAGAGGCAGTGTTGAGAAAGCTTGAGGGCCTGGTTGGCCACCGGAAAGTTTTCTCAATCGACTGATGTTACCCTTTCCCATTGACAATACTCTTGATATCGATTTGGTGTTTTATGAGAAAATCACTCCACCATGATGTTGGATTGGCAGATTCTGAGTGACGGATGAAGAGTGATGCTGAGTTGACCTTCTGGAGGTAGTGGGTGATGACTTGGTGATGAGACCTCTAGCGCTTGAAGATACTTCACACTTGATTGATGTTCATAGTCTCTTCAGCCGTGATTCAAGAAGTCACCAATTTCCCGTTCTTCAGTCTGGACGTGTCCCGACCGCGCATCCGACATATGCTCGTGGCGTCCGTATCGGCAGCCGACTCCGCGTCCGATGTGGTGCGGTGAAGGAGAAGCTGGCGAAATGCCCATATGGAAGCGACATGGAAGTGATGCGCGGTGTCTGTGGCAGTGACGGATTGAAGGGCGGTAACAAAAGATTGAAGCGGATTGAAGAGAGAACGACACGGCGGCTGGAGACTGGAGCTCGGCGGCTATTCCAAAATGCGCACAGATCTTCCCCGGACTTTAGAAAGCTTGGCTCTGTCGGTTGTGGAGCACACATCGAAACTCCAAATGGTCTGTGCTTCATCTCAACTGGGCCCACGCTGTCGTCACGGCAGTGCCTTTCGGATGTGCCCCGCCATTGTGAGATGAAAGAGAAGCCCCGCAATTATCAATCGCGAACGCCCCCAGCACTGCAGCGATAAGGAGGGGCAAGTGCAATAAGCTTCCCGTTCATGATCCGCTTTGCATTGCTTGTACTGGACGGTCCCCTGGAACAAAACATCACCTTTCGCGACGCAACCGAACATACATACCAAGTACATCCGCTGGACATCACAGACGGGAACGACGACAAAATTGTAGACGCTATACCTCGACCGATACCTCACCGATCGTGCCTATCCAGATCCAGCCATGACTGAACTCTCAGGACGTCATGTTGTTTATTGCGGAGGTAAGTCGCATCCATCACCACTTGCGCTTTCCGCTCCCATTGACCACCGACCGCATCACGAAACCATGTGCTTACAATATCCCTTTTGACTGCAGTGTGCACCCTGCCGCCCGAGGTATGATACTACCCCCTTCAGCCTACAGTTCATCTTTAGACCCCGCCAGACCGCATAAATATGACGATGATACGCGATCGATCACCAAGCTCAAGCTCACCACCCATCCCGAACCTATGTAGTACTGCGAATACGGCGGAACCGTCAAAAAGTGCCAGCAATGGCTCGAGAAGAACCAGCCCGCCATGTACTCGAGGATATGGTCCCCCGAGGTGCTCGAGGCGGAGATGGCCGGTTTGTCGGTTGAGGCGCAGGAGCGCGCCATGAAGGACGCGAAGAAGAAGGCCGCGAAGGCCGAGGCGGCAGAGCGCAAGGATGCCGACAAGCGCGCCAACAGCGTGGTCACCATCAAGCGCATTGAGCGCAACAAGAGGAAATACGTCACGTCCGTGAGCGGGTTGGAGGCGTTTGGGTTGGAGTTGAAGAAGGTGCGTACATTATCTTGCTCGCACGCTTACAGTTGGCTGGCTAGCTACCCACCCACGGGTCATTATTTATACTAGGGTGATGATGTTGGGAAAGCGACTGCTAACAATGACTGTTTTCAACGTGGGATAGGTTGCCAAGGACTTCGGCAAGAAGTTCGCGACCGGCTCTTCGGTAACCAAGGTACCCAGCGGCGGCGAGGAGATTGTCGTCCAGGGCGATGTCAGCGGCGAGATCGAGGAGTTCATTCTCGAAAAGTACAAGGAGGTTCCCGAAGACAACATAGAGCTCGTGGAAGACAAGAAGAAGAAGAAGGGCGAAGGAAACTAGATGTTTCGACTTGTTGGAGGCGCTTAAGCGAGGCAGGCTTAAAGTTAATGATGAAGTTCTTTTTGATATATTACGATGACTACCCATCTGAACAATACTAGGTATTCGCTTGGGCTCGGAGAGAAAGAAGAAAGCCTTCTTTAAAGCTGTATCGAATGACAGCAGCGGCTGTATGGTAATATAACACTGTCCCTGAACGAATCCTTCCAAACCCAATAACGCCAGGCTTTGCGCGGCCGACACCTAGCGGCGGTCCTGATATCTATATAAGTAACAAAAACGCCTAACCGTAACAATGCCAATCCCACAGCCCATAACCTGAATGGAATTCCGGCAAATCATACACCGACGAGAAAAAGACAGGTAACACCCACAGCAACAACAGAAAGTCAAAACCGCTAACCTCTCTTCCTCAACACTCTCCCCGACGCAGCAGGCGCCGCTGCCGTAGAAGCAGCTGCCTTCTCCGCCTTCTCCTTCGTCCCACCACCCGCCGCCTTCTTCGTCGCCGCCACCCCCTTCTTGATCGTACTCATGACACCTCGCTTTGCGCTCGACGCCGTTCCAGGCCTCGTCCCTGTGGCCGTCGCCGGCCGCTGCCTCCGCGCCCCCATCGATGACGTGCTGCTCGCCTCACTAGACACGCTGGCGCCACTAACTCTCCGCGTTGTCCGTGTGGTGGTAGCATAAGCCGTCGAAGTGGTTGCCGCTCTGGCTCTCGATTTTGCCGCGCTCGCTTGCGTCGCTTCCGTTATTGTTGAATGTTTTTGTGGGCTGTTCGCTCGCGATCGAGCCTTTTCGACCATATTGCCAAGAAGGGTGGATGCGCTTGTGCCGGCTGTGGGTTTGGTTGGGGAAATCGGACGTGGGTGATGTTGTTTGGTCGGTGATGGGGTGCGCTCCCCTCGTGGTACTAGGCGCGAGTTGGATGAGGTGGGCGAAAGAACTTGGTTGGGATGATTGCGCAGGATGTCGGCTGCCGGGCCGAGACGTTGTTGTCGTTTTTCTGGGCTTGTGGGCTCGATTTCGTAGTTCTCTTTGTCGCGACCGGAGACTTCATGGCTGTTGTTTGATGTTGTTAGGATCGGAGCCATCCCTTGGCCCTTGGCGGGAGATATGGGCACAAACCTCGTCGTCTTGATTGGGCTGGGTCGTATGGGAGATGTAGGTCTGGTCGTGGAGGCTGTTGTTGGCCGCTGGAGGACGGGGCGCGATGTTGTCGCATCCTTTGGTGGAACTGGGGGCCCTCTGGTCGTGGTCGTGGTCGTGGTCGTGGTCGTGGTCGCGGTCTTCTGTTGCTGTTCTGTAGAGTACTTCTGTATCAGGTCACCCATCTTCACCTTGCGAAGGGACATGGGAATGCGGTTGACGCGGATTTCGATTCGTGTTCGAAGACTTTGCGCATGGATGTTGTAGTTGGCCCGGAGTTTGCGAGCGCGTTCGGTGACTACATACTTGTTAGTCGGCTACGCGCATCGTCGCTGGCTTGTCTGGCGGATAAACTTACGCTCGAGTTGCAAGTTATCAATCAGCGCCTGTTTCTGCGCGGCTGAAATTCCTGTTCGCCTCTTCTTCTTCGCGGGACTTTCGCTGCCACCTGGTCGTCCGTTTTCTGTTGTGCTTCTGTCCAGCAACGGTGCCGTGATGTCGGTGTTGTGCTCGTCCTTGGGAACGTTGGCCTCGTCCGACTTGCGTTTCGTGCCGGCGGTGGGAGACATGATCGCGTAGATCAGGGTGTGGTGAAAATTTCCGAGCAATTATCTCGGGCGTTCCAGGAGAAATATGTTGGCAATGTTGGCGACGAAGTGTCTGGATATTTTAATCGTGCGTTCTTGATGGGTGAGCGACTCGAAGTGTGTTGCAGGCTGGATTGAATGGACGCTGTGTTGTGAGTGGTCGACATTTCCTGGAGTAAACAAACGAAAGCACTGACCACTCAGGGCCCGTTAGACACACGAGGGGGTGCACCTGCCGCAGCTCCAGGTCACTGACATAACAGCGGTACGTACCTCCACCTGATAGCGTAACCGCAGCTACGCGGGCAGCTAGGCTGAACCGCCTTACGCAGGAGCTCCCCGACCTGTCACTAAACATCATCTTTCCATCAACCCATCAACAACAATTAATCTAACCTCCTCCAAATCAACCTCGAGCGACGCTACGATTTTATTACCAAACTAAACAGCACAGCGATATCCATCAATAATTTGCAGTCGAAAAAACGCCAGCCAAGATGCCTCTCGAAGCGGTAATGATCGTGGTGGACAATAGCGAGAGCAGTCGCAATGGAGATTACACACCAACCCGCTACGACGCGCAAACGGATGCTGTTAACATCATCTTCCAAAATGTCGTACAAGGCAACCCCGAGTCGTCGGTCGGTCTCATGAGCATGGCCGGCAGGGGTCCTGAGGTCCTGGTGACGCTCACAACGGACCAAGGCAAGATCCTCGAGGGTCTGCACCGGACGAAGAAGAACATCCGTGGCTCGGCACAGTTGTCGAGGGGTATCCAGGTGGCGTGGGTATGTGCAATCTGTTTGTAGCATTTCCCCGGAAACTATAGACAACTAACTAGCTATTCTACACCACAGCTCGCACTCAAGCACCGACAGAACAAGTCCCAGCGGGGTCGTATCGTCATTTTCGTTTGCTCGCCCATCGAGGAGGAGGAGAGCGACCTCATCAAGCTCGCCAAGAAGATGAAGAAGAACAACACCAGCGTCGACTTTATTCTTTTCGGCGACATCGACGACGAGAACCAGAAGAAGCTCGAGGCTTTCAACCGCGAGGTCAAAAGTGGCGAAGGATCCAACATGGTCGTCATCCCACCGAGCAGCAAGTTGCTTTCCGACCAGCTCATCTCGACACCCATCCTGCTCGGCGAGGCTGCTGCTAGCGGTAGCGGTGGCGCTGGTGGCGATGCCGCTGGTGCGGCGAGCGAGGACTTCCCCTTCGGTATCGATCCATCCGTCGACCCCGAGCTGGCCCTTGCGCTAAGAATGAGTATGGAGGAGGAGAAGGCACGCCAGGAGAAGCGTGCCAAGGAGGAGGCCGAGGCGGCGAAGAAGGCGAGCTTGGAGGATGTCAAGGAGGAGGCTGGCGAGTCGGAACCATTGCTGGGCAAGGACGGCGAGGCGAGCAGCAGCGGCAGCAAAAAGGATGACGACAAGCACGGCAAATCAGATGACGGCGACAAGATGGATACTTCCTAGTCGACTTGTTGTTTGACAGATCGTTATTATGAGTTATGGCGCTTTGCATTGCAAAGGACGACTACCATGGGCGCTGGCTGTATTTGTGTAGAATAGACTCGCTATGGTATTACATGGGCATTACTACCAAGGTAACTGCCCATCTTTGAGCATGAAGCTGTTCTATCATGACCCCTTTGCCCGCCCGCCCGCATAATTCCCAAAGATAAACGCCTGATAACTCCGTCAGATAGACATGACATTAAACTTGATAACACCCCTTCCTTTCCTTCGCCCCCTTCACTCTCTTCACCCCTTACCCAACGTGCTCCCACTAGAACTACCTGTTATTAACCTCCCTAATATGCGACAACAGCTTCCGGTCAAACATGTCGCACCGGATCGGCATCTCCAGCTGGTAAAACGGGTTCTTCATGACGTAGTCCGAGTAGAGCTCGTAGATGCGTCGGATGATCACGTCAACGTTCGTCTGCGTCGTGTCCGTGAACAACAAAAACTTGACCCCCGTCAACGTGTTGAAGCACTGCAGCCGAAAATTCTCTGACTCAAGCACCTCCAGCCCCGAAGGCGGTTCTGGCCTCGTCAGGATCCCACCTGGTACGCCGGGGATGGTGCTGCTGTTGGATAGGGGTCTTCCATCGGGATTGGACTTGACGGGGTTGAGGCGGGCTGTGATTGCGTGGACGCTTTTTTTGGGTGAGTTGTTAGCATAGCTCGGAGTTTTTGGTAGGAGGTGCGATATAGATACATACCCGTGAAAGGTTCCGGCCAGGACGAGATAGTCATTGGTGCTGAGCTTGTTCAGGCCACCTTCGTGAAACGTCCTGTTGTAGATTAGGCCGCCGGCCTTGTTGATGATGACGAGGGAGAATACGGTCCTTGGGTGTATGTGTTAGCGCCGGGCATGTCTGGTCTGTGAAGGGGTTGATGCTGGACACAAAACTTACATTGTGATGGCCTCATCTCATGTGAAACCTTAACGCACGACGGTTGCAGGAAGAAAGAGCGGAATAAGGGTTGCCCTGTGGGCAACTTGGGATGGGCAACTGAAAGTTTGATGGTGAACTAATTCAGTGGTTCAATGAGTCGATATCTTGGGTTGATTTTTGTTCAAGTTGTCGTTAAAGAGAGGTATGAACTTGGTGTAAGTGAACCTTCCTTTCCTGAGGACGTTGGTGTGTCGCTGCCTCCTGGGCGGCATACGGCCGGGGACAAGCGGCCAGGGTACTCCGCGATCACTGGAGAAATGCAGTGGTTTCAGGGTTAGGGTTATGCTAGGGATATGTCACAGCTGGTTCACCATCTTGGTCGTCCCTTGCAAACGGCAGGCACCTTGATGACCAGTCCCTGGATTTGTTTACAACCGTCAGGGGAAATGTGATTATCACACTTTAATCCTTGTTATTGATGGTTCTTGATTGTGTCTCTCCTGTACCACAGTCAATCAACTTCAGTTTCTATGGCACGTATTCTCTAAAGTGAGAAAGTGCTTTCCCAATCTCAAATCCCAATCTGGGATCCGTCAACTCTGGCAGAATCCGGCTGCGTTGTTCCCGTCTCTCGTCACAAGTGGTGTCCAATTTATCTTCCCGTCCCAATACCTAGATCTCGGCATGCAAGCCGAGTCTGGAGTCTCCAAAAGATGGGACGAAATCTCGGAAACTGCATAGAGATCAACCAACGGCATCACAAAGAGATCTTCATGACAAGCCGAACAACCTTTGAGCAGGTGAAAGTCGGGGGACTCGGCAAGACAGTCAAGAACGGTCAAAGAGTGTGATCCTGGCTCGGCAGATGTCAAGCCACCCGACCATCGACCCCCCACCTTCACATTCCCGTCCCGCCCGGACACTGACCCTGCGAATTTTAGTGGCTCGAAACGCCCTGGATCAGTGGCCAAGGTCGATTTCAGCTGAAGCTCGTGCTTTATCGTGGTGGTGCTGTCGCGGTGGAAAATCGAATGTGCTTGAGTCTCTGCCACGGTCTGCCACGGGCAAATCTCCACCATCCCGAATTGTGGCCACATGGAAGTTTAAAAAAAAGGTAACGTTGGACCGATCCCAGCGAATGGAAGCCTCGCGCCGCGTCGGCTGTTGACCGGACGTTCGTCGGGTCGTCATGGAGCTTTTGAGCCTGGAATTTCCATGAAGAGTTGCTGTCGAGTCCACTTGGTTGCTTCTGCTTACTGCCAGCCTCAACGCAAGATTCCGGACCCGATGACTGTACATACATATTGCTTCTACTGCGTTCTCCACCTCGTCCGAAATATCATCATCTGTTTCTCCCTTTGACATTTTCACCTTCCTACCTACGGCTTGTTTTTCTTGAGGAGCTTTGCTTGTCCAAGGTTCATCGACGTCAGGGGAACCACCAACCTTAAGTACCTTGCCTAACCGCTACAGGTACCCGACTCGACATTCCCTGTCTGCCCCGCCATCAGACGATCAAGTTGCTTCCTTCGGACAGGGCGTTTTCGAACTATTTCCAGGCAGCCAAAAAGACATCACAACCAACAGACATTCACATTGCCGATTGCGCCCCCTCGGCAGCTTACTCCGTCGCCCCCAACGCTCCAGTAGCGGCTTTATGCCCCGATTTGCCCATTCGCCATGGCCGCCTCACGTCGGCGTCAGGCGTCTAAACCGCAACACAATGCGGTAAACACCAACAAGAACCGCGACGACCGAGGAACCATTGCGTCGGAACCTTCGCCCCGCGTCATCAATGCCGCCCCGTCCCTCGAAAAGGCCGAGATGTACGGAATCGACGACAACCGTCCGTTCTTCAGCCGTGCTATGGCCCTGGCTGGGCGCATGTTCATCGAGACGATTCCGCAATGGATAGCTATAGGAGTTATGCTCTCGCTGATCTTTGGAGGCTGCTGCTCCAATGTCTTTGCGCTCGAGTCCATCATCAAAGTCGAGCCCGGTGCCGGTACGTTTTCTCTGCAGTGCCATCAGCAACCCGAGCGGGTTCGCATTGTTTGCGACCCGGATCGGATACCACGGATCTATATGAATTTGGGCTAACATATTTCCCCAACGTTCGCAGGAACTCTCTTGACCTTTGTCCAATTCCTCTTCGTCGCCCTCGTCGGCCTACCTTCCCAGATCGACTGGAGCCGTCCGCCCTTCTTCCTCAAGAAGAATCAAGTCCCGCTCACACGATGGCTGATCAATATCGCGCTATTCTTTGCTATCAATGTCCTCAACAACCATGCTTTTAGCTACGACATCTCGGTCCCCGTACATATTATCCTGCGCTCGGGAGGCAGCATAACTACAATGATTGCGGGAGCGTTATGGGGCAAGAGATATTCCAAAATCCAGATTATAGCCGTGCTCCTCCTCACCGTGGGCGTGATCACGGCGGCCTGGTCTGATGCGCAAAGCAAGGTACGTCTCCCAAGAACTTTACTGGGCATATCTCTATGCAAAGTGCGGATACTGACAGACATTTCCAGGGAGCGAGCAAAAAGGAGTATCACGAGAAGAACTCGGACTTCGGCATTGGTCTTGCTATTCTCTTCGTTGCCCAGAGCTTATCCGCTGTCATGGGCCTTTACACGGAAGAGACTTACAAGAAATATGGCCCGCACTGGAAGGAGAACCTGTTCTACTCGCATCTCCTGTCTTTGCCCCTGTTTCTCTTTTTCTGGCCTTCGTTGAAGACCCAGTTCAGGAGACTGGCCGACAGCGCGCCCTTGACTCTTCCGCTGCCGGACTTTGAGGAGTACCCCAACCTGTCGCCCAACCTCCAGAAGTTTTTGGAGAACATTCATATTCCTAGCCAGCTGTTTTACCTGGCACTGAACGTCTTGACGCAGTACGCTTGCATCCGCGGAGTCAACCTTCTGGCAGCTGCCTCGACCGCCTTGACAGTCACGATCGTCCTCAACATCCGGAAGCTTGTCAGTCTGCTGTTGAGCATATGGCTGTTTGGAAACAAGTTGGCGTTTGGAACCTTGGTGGGAGCCGTGATAGTGTTTGGCGCCGGCGGGCTGTACTCGCTGGATGGGAAGAAGAAGGCTCCGGTCCGGAGGGTCTCGGCCGCGCCGGCGCTCAAAAAGGCTTGATCCGCTTGAGGGTTTGATTTGTTGTAACTGTAGAAGTTCGGAGTGTAGGTACTTGGTAGCAGCCGGGACGACAACCGTGGCTGACTAACAGCTTGGAATGAAATTCGGGTTCTATACCGGTCCTAGGGCTTGTTGACTGCAGTGCTTTTAGGTAATAGTTTCCATCGATTTTCTTGTTGACGGAAGTGACCGAGAATAAGGGGCCGGAACCGCCCTATCAATCAATTTTCAGGGGTATTTCTCCAGGGGCCACCTTGCGTCCTTGCAGCGGCTAGGGTCGGCATGCACGCAGTTTTTACAGCGGTCCTTCTGCCAGGTGCAGTGGGTGCAGAAATGAGACCTGGACTGCGGGAACAAAAGAAATCACTTCCGCTTTGTCAAGTGGTCCATCCAAAAACCCCTGCAAGAGCCTTATTTAGTGGGGTTGCGATGCGTCATTGGACGGCAGATGGAAGATCCCGTTCGCTTTGGTGTGGTCGTGATAGACTTCGCACCACGTTTGTACGGCAGTTATAGGCCTATCTCCGTATCAGACTATCAGAGTCTCTCAGAGCTTGGAGGGGCTTTACTTACCAAGTCTGGGCATTCCATCCTAGTAGGTAACAAGTCAATGTCCTTCTCAGACTTCAACCCAACACAAATCTGGCCACCACACCAAAGAACATCACCAAACACAAACGCCGGTCCAGTACCTTGCCAAAAGGTCGTCACCCGTTGTACAGCACGTACAACAAACAGACAGGTTCAACTGTGATTGTACCCAAAGACTAGAATACAACAACGGCCGATCGTTGTTTTGGGCTTCCATCCCGCGGGAAAAATCTGGAAACTTGCCCCTCGCTGTCACCACCTTCTTCCGTTGTGTACACCCAGACACTACAGCAACACTTCACTTCAGCTCTTTGTGCTGTTGAAGCTACTACTATGTGTGGTGGTAAGTTGCAGGAACCACAACGTCCCACGTCATTGATCCTTGACCAATGTCCTCCCCTTCCCAAATACCTTCAAGATTTTGGTCTGATGATTTCTGCCAGGACCCTCTCCTTACGCGCGCGACGCCCAGTCGTCAAGTCCGACGTCTCCTAGCTTCGCGGCTGGCCACCTGCCGGCTCGCGATTCCGACGATGAAGAGTACAGAGATCATGAAATGAGTGACACAGAGTTCGACAACCCCATCGAGCATGACCACCTTGGCAGTAGGCCTGGTAGCGCTGATGGCCACCGCGACACCGAGAACCAGTCGGAAGGCGCAGAGATCGAAGAGGGCATGCTTCTCAGAGATATGCCAAAAAAGACAACATTCTACGACCCCGTAACTGAGCGCCAGATGACTCAGACAGACGCCAAGTTGTTCTTTCAACGAAGCCAGGTCGAGAGGAACCAGATTCCTACAAACGCCCACGCTACTCCCATTGGCAGCCCATTCATTGCGCCAGGCCACGGCCACGGTGCTGGAACAAGGCACATTCCTGTGGACCCCTCCCAGAGCGCCATCCTATCTCCCGAATCCACAATGGGCACCGGGTTCAACGCCGGCCCTGTCAATGATCCTCTGATCGAGGCCTCAATGCGCCAAAGAATGCCACGCCTTTCAGGCAGCTATAGTCATACTCGGACCGGCAATGGCTCCTCGCCTTTGCCAGGGAGGATTAACCCGGCTGCTCAGCAGGAGACGTTGCTCAACACCGGCATGGTCTCCGGCATTGGAAGCAGCACTTATATGGACGCAGACCCTCAGATCACCGCTGAACTTACTGGTATCTTCCAGGATGTCCAGAAGATTATTGATATCAGGCGGAAGTACATCAATCTTTCCCTCCAAGGGCCGAATGACAACCCTAAGGACGACCCCAGCTGGGTCATCTATCCTCCTCCCCCGGTTCCGGCCTGGAGCGAAGACCGGGACAAGGCTGGGCGCGGCACTCATGCCCATAACAGCGCTGGAAACAGCCTAGCAAACAGCATGATTCTAAACAACGACAAGCACGAAGGTTCCTCTGGCACGGCATACAAGTGGACTGGCAAGAAGCGCAAGCCTGGACAGGATATTGGAGAGGATTTTGAGCTTGAGGACTTGCTTCCTGCGCCTGGTCCGGATGACATGACATATAAGCTGGATGAAAATGGTGTTTACCAGGTCTATCACAACGATCAGGACAAAGAGGCTGATAAGCCAGCTATCGAGATCCCGACCTTGAGAGAGTATTACGTGGATCTGGAAGCCATCCTGTCAGTCTCCTCGGACGGACCTAGCAAGAGTTTTGCTTTCAGACGTCTTCAGTACCTCGAAAAGCGGTTCGACCTCTACGTACTTCTGGAGGGATACGATGAAACGGCAGACAGCAAGAAGGTGCCCCATCGTGATTTTTACAATGTCAGAAAGGTTGACACTCACGTTCACCACTCGGCCTGCATGAACCAGAAGCATCTCTTGCGTTTCATCAAGAGTAAGATGAAGAAGTACCCGGACGAGATCGTGCTTTACAGAGATGGCAAGCACCTGACGCTGGCCGAGGTGTTTGAGAGTATCAACCTCACAGCCTACGATCTCAGTATCGACACGCTCGATATGCATGCTCACACGGATTCGTTCCACCGCTTCGACAAGTTCAACTTGAAGTACAACCCGATTGGCGAGTCGCGTTTGCGTACCATCTTCCTCAAGACCGACAACTTTATCAACGGACGCTACCTGGCTGAAATTACCAAGGAAGTAATTTCGGATCTGGAGTCTAGCAAGTACCAGATGGTTGAGTGGCGTGTGTCCATCTACGGCAAGTCTCTCGATGAGTGGGACAAGCTTGCCAACTGGGTTGTCGACAACAAGCTGTTCTCTCACAACGTCCGCTGGCTCATCCAGATTCCTCGCCTCTACGATGTTTACAAAGCTAGTGGCGGTGTAAACACGTTTGAGGAGGTGGTCCGGAACATTTTCCAGCCCCTGTTCGAGGTCACCAAGGACCCGTCTTCGCACCCCAAGCTGCACATCTTCTTGCAAAGAGTCATTGGTCTGGACAGTGTCGACGATGAAAGCAAGGTTGAGCGACGACTGTTCAAGAAGTTCCCCGTCCCCAAGATTTGGGACGGCAAGCAGAACCCTCCTTACAGCTACTGGATCTACTATCTGTATGCGAACATGGCCTCGCTTAACCACTGGCGCAAGAAGCGTGGCTTTAACACCTTTGTCCTCCGTCCTCACTGCGGTGAGGCAGGTGACAGTGAGCATCTGGCCGTCGCTGCTCTGTGCTGCCACAGCATCAGCCACGGTCTTCTCTTGCGCAAGGTTCCTGTTTTGCAGTATGTCTTCTATCTTGAGCAGATCGGTATCGCCATGTCGCCATTGAGCAACAACGCGTTGTTCTTGGCGTACGAGAGGAACCCGATGCACCAGTACTTCAAGCGTGGCCTCAACGTGTCACTCTCTACAGATGATCCTCTCCAGTTCGCGTTCACCAAGGAGCCGCTTATCGAAGAGTATGCGGTGGCGGCGCAGATCTACAAGCTCAGCCCGGTGGATATGTGCGAGCTTGCAAAGAACTCGGTCAAGCAGAGTGGTTACGAGTATTCCGTCAAGGAGCAGTGGCTCGGCAAGGACTTCCACTTGTCAGGAGCCCAGGGCAATACCATGGTCAAGACCAACGTGCCTGACCGTAGAGAGGAGTTCCGCTATAGGACTCTTCTTGAGGAAAGGGGAATGTGAGTTCACGTATCTTGCTTGAACAAAGTGGATGACTGCTGACAAGTGAACACAGGGTCGAAAGGTACAACGCCCTCGCAGCCGAAGCGGCAGCAACCTCCGCTCAAGCAGCCCCCAAGTCTCCCGCTCCGCCTGCAAAGGCTAGCATTGGAGAAGCGAAGACCTCCCACAACATCGGCACCTCGGCGCCCTCTCCCCACGCGGGCACCGACTCCCTTTCTCAATCCCAGATCCTTCCCAGCCCAATGCAGCAGTCACCCCAGCTGGGCCTCCCCAGTGCCGCTCTCGAAGGTCAAGGAACCGCCAGCGCCACTGGCCTCACAGACTCGCTGAGGGAGCTTCATCTTCCCGGGCACGAACCTAGGTATTTCCCCGGCGTGATGTCGCGCAGCCAGGGCCGCAAGACCAGCACCCGACAGAGTTCGATGCATGAGAGCGATGTAACCAAGCCGTAGGTGGCTGACATCACCTCATCTGGAGAATTCGTCGAGAGTGAGTGTTTTGGTGTGGAAGTGCCCATGAGAAGGAAGGACACGCCCAGCGTGATTGTCATGGAGGATTATATGGAGGATATGCAGCCGCGGGAAGCGACAGTTGGGATGGCGCAGGAGGTGGTGGGGAGTACACCTGTGCAGGATTGTCCTGATTGTTTGGAGGTTGTTCGTGAGTGAGTAGTTGGTGAGTGAAGGAAGGCGAGATTTAAAGGTATAGACTTTGGACCTTGGACCATTCTGAGCCGGGAATGGCTGGCTGGGTTCTGGAACTGGAAATCGTATCTGGAAGCAATGCTATATAGACTTATCAGAGTTATCAATGACGAATTTTGAAAGGGGTATATTGTCGCTATATAACCTACGTTGAACTGGCGTCTAGATCATCGTTCGGATATCACCACCAAGAAAAAGGGGCTGACGATAGCTCGTATTGATCGTTACGTCGTTACCGTACCGTACAAATCCACGATACATGTCTAGCTTAGGGGGTGTACAAATAACGATGCCAGGAACGCCAGCTGAACTGCTCCAGCGATCTACACCACAGCACTGCGTAGCCGCACGTGTAGATAGCGTCATTCCGGGCGGTGGATCGTTCATTTCATGTCGAGGGTCCTCGGGACATGGATGAATCCCGGGTCTGCCGGTCGAGACCAGCTGGCTGGTTGATTATTTACAATCTTTGGCTGTGAACGACGAACATGTGCAAGATTGAAATACAGCTTATAACGGGCTGCAACAAGGGCCTGGCAAGTTACGCATATTGAAGATGCGACAGGCTGTGCCTGCTCCTGCACGCTGTTGACTACATCTACATATCCGTCGTTCCTGGGCCAGTGCCTTGCTTCGACGGTGTTGGCTAAGGTAGTCGCTAGTTGGGTTGCGACTGAACGCGGGCGATGATCGAGATGCGCTGCAGAGTCGTTTCCCTATAAGGTAGGTATACAGGCGCTGGAAGGTTACGGTGGCTGCGTGAGAAGTTCTTTGGGTTTCAACTTCTAGCTTTGCGATCTTTCAGGTTACGAACAACTTTGTCCTGGAGCATTGTATTGGCCTCGATTTTCTCGATATTTATGACTGTTCTTCCATGAATATTTCCGCTTTCTGATGTATACGTTTTGGTGAGGCCTCTTCTCGACCGCTTCGTTGTCTTGTTCTAGTGTACAATTCAGCGACCCCCGTATACACACCCCCGGACCAGCTCCCGCAGCGAATTGGGCAACCCACATGATTAAACGGGTCCACGACTCGGACATAGAGTAATTTCCTGTGTCTCTCCCCTGGCTCGACCATTTTCGATCGCAACTCCAAACTCTTGATCACGATAAAAACAAAACTCTTCGCAGTCACCGCAGCCGCACGCGCTCGCTGTCGACATATTCCCGACGTTCCTTCGCTCAAATCCGCAGGCTATCCGTACGATACCTAGAGGAGGGCCTTGGCCGGCCACGATCCTAGTGTAGGAACAAGCATACAGTGCCCTGTCTGCTCATAGCGGCTGCCCCTTGCTTCAGGAGCACCCGTACACTCTAGAACTAGCTCTAGCTCGTCCGCAGCGGTGCATCACTGGCACCCACCCCAAAGTTCAGGAGCTCCCGTTCGCTCAAACGTCTGCCCAGCCGCAGCGCCGCCCCCGTCCGTCATCCAGGCCAGCGTCACCCGCTCTCACAGGCTTGCCGCCCGCCGCCGCTCGCTCCTTGTTTCCATCGATCTTACCGACCCCCCGCCCGCAGAACCAAGACTTGTGATACCACCACCACCAGCCACCATTCGCAACCGACAGCGTCCTTTCGTTTTCTCCCGATTCCTGTTCCCTCGTAATATAACAACTTCCCTGCGTCAATTTATGCCGGCTCCCACCATCCAGAGGGCATCATACGAGTAGAATTCCCGCAGCAGTTGCCAGCCATGGGCTTCCTCGGCGTCTACAGGGCCATCTACGACTACGCGCCCCAAGGCGAGGGCGAGTTGACAATCTCCGAAGGCGACATTCTCTACGTGTTGGAAAAGAGCCAGGACGACGATTGGTGGAAGGCAAAGAAGAAGGCCAATGCCGCCGACGATGACGAGCCCGTCGGCCTGATCCCGAATAACTACATTGAGGAGGTATGTGTGATGTGTGATGTGGTCTGAAAGAACGACACCTACACCTACAACTAGGAGGAGGATAGCAAGCTGGCTGGCTGGCCTTGGCATCATCAGATGGAGATCACTTAAACTGACCGCGCAACACCATGACCAACTAGGCGAAACCCGTACAATACGCTCGCGCTCTCTACGAGTACACGCGTCAGACCGACGAAGAGATCTCCTTCCCCGAGGATGCGCAGCTCTCAGTCTTCGATACTTCCGACCCCGATTGGATCCTAGTTGGCCACGATGGCGACTACGGCTTCGCGCCCGCCAACTACATTGAATTGGGCGATGGCCAGGACGGCCAGTACGCCCAGCAGGAGGAGGAAGATTATGATGCTCCTCCTCCGCCTTTGCCGCAGAGGACACCAAGCGTCAGCGTCGATGTAGCCAGCCCGCCCCTGCCCGCCAGAAGCGTGCCCTCCGAGCCAAGCACACCCGTCGCTGCCTCCAACCCTGCTGCCGCCATCGCCGGAGTTATGGCCAACCGCTCATCGTTCCAACCCCCAGCGCCCATCAGTGTTCCCCAGCCCGAGCGACAGTCATACGCTTCGCAAGACTATGAAGAGGAGGTTAGGTCCCCGCCGCTCCCGAGCCGTCCGCGCGGCGATTCGCAGATTGCTCCGGAGCAAAGGTCCTACAGACCGGTGCCGCCGCCCGCCCAGTCGGCATCGCAAGACACCGACGACTATGGCATTAGCCCGCGGACCTCGCAGGCTCCTCCTCCCCAGACCGCCGCGCTCACCCCTGGCGGTTTCCACATGTACAACATCAACGAGATGACGTCGGTAATGGGCAAGAAGAAGAAGATGCCGACCACGCTGGGCATCAACCTGAGGACGGGAATGATTTTGATAGCGCCGGAACACTCCCACGACGGTCCTTCGCAGGAATGGCGGGCCGACTGTATGACACACTACTCTCGGGAGGGCAAGCACGTGTTTATGGAGCTCGTGCGACCAAGCAAGAGCGTCGACTTTCACGCGGGCGCCAAGGACACCGCTGAAGAGATTGTCGCGATGCTGGGCGACATGGCCGGAACCGTGCGCATGGAGGGACTCAAAGAGATCATTGCCGCGGGATCGGGAGGCAAGAAGAAGAAGGGTACCGTGCTGTATGACTTTATGGCTCAGGGAGAGGACGAGGTCACCGTCGGCGTCGGTGATGAGGTTGTTATTCTCGACGATACCAAGAGCGACGAGTGGTGGATGGTTCGTCGCGTCAGGAACGGCAAGGAGGGCGTGGTTCCCAGCAGCTACATTGAGATCAACGGCGTGTGGGAAGAGCCAGAGACGGCTATCAGCGGCATTGCGGTCGGCATGTCGGAAGTCGACAAGAACCGCCTGGAGGAGGCGCGCTTGACCAAGGAGGCCATCAAGGCTGCCCAGCGCGAGGAGGAGAAGGAGAAGCAGAAGAGGAACTCAGAGGTAGGCCCAGGATTGCGATTACAAGAACGAAGAAGTAGTTTGCCGGCCGCAGATGATAACAGAAGAGGAAAACAGCGAAGCAGCAGGCGCGAAAACGGTCAGAGCACCAGCTCCAAGTCGTCAAGCAAGTCGAGTGAGTACTCCCCATGTTCACTGTTGGCAGTTTGCGGATACTGACTATCTATCACAGAACCTGATCCTTCTAAGGTACGAACATGGACCGATCGATCCAAGTCCTTCAGCGTAGAGGCCCAGTTCCTCGGTGTCAAGGATGGCAAGATCAGGCTCCACAAGATGAACGGTGTGCAGATCGCTGTGCCTGTCTCTAAGATGTCGGTTGAGGATCTCGAGTACGTGGAGCGCGTAACTGGTGAATCACTCGACGAAGACAAGCCCCTATCCGACCTTAAGAACAAGCGATCCACCGGTGAGTCTTCGAGGTCTAGCCGATCGACACGCGACAGGGAAAGAGACCGTGGTTCCAGCTCTCGGGTTGGTGCCACCATCGACACCTCAAAGAAGCCCGACTACGATTGGTTCAACTTCTTCCTCGGTTGCGACGTACAGGTTGGTTTGTGCGAGCGGTATTCGCAGGCTTTCCTGCGGGAGGCTATCGACGAAAGTGTCTTGCCAGATGTCGATGCTACTGTGCTGAGGAACTTGGGCTTGCGTGAAGGTGATATTATCAAGGTCATGCGGTACCTGGACAACAAGTACATGCGGAACAAGAAGGGTGAAGAGGGCGAGGGTGGACTCTTCTCTGGGCCAGGAGGTGTGCTGCGCAACAACACGAAGAAGGGCAGGCCGGCGCCCCCTGTCGAGGTCAGCAACACCGTCGATCCCAACGCGTTCTCCAAGGACTCGGGTGCTGGTAGTGCCAAGGCATCGTCCCCTACGGCTGCGGCTACGCCAAGGTCTGCTTCCAAGCCCTCCGGGGGCTTTGATGATGATGCTTGGGATGTCAAGCCCAGCAAGACGAAAACCCCTGAGCCGGCTGCGCAAGCCGTTGCTCCTGCTCCTGCTCCTGCGCCGGCACCCGCTCCGACTCCTGCTCTGGTTGACGCGCCGGCATCTACTCCGCCAGCGGCTCTTACCAATTCGATGCAGGAGCTGTCGTTGCTTACCCAGCCTCTGGAACCCGAGAAGGTTGCTCCTCCACCAGTTGTGCAGCCGGCTATCACATTGCCTCCGCCCTCGGCGGTCCCCGTTCCGGTTGCTCCTGCGCAGGTTCCTCAGCTTACCGGCGCCACTCCCGGCTTCTTCACCGGTATGCAACCTCCTGCTGTTAGTGGACAGATCCTTCCTCAGAACATTGCGCGCCAAAGACCTCTTGCTCCTCAGTACACTGCTGCCCAGGGTCTCGTTGCTCCCCCACCTCCATCTCGCCCTCTCTCGGCGCCTCAGTCCGCTCAACCCAGCGCCTTCACACCACCCCCTATCCAGCCTCAGATGACCGGTTTCCAGCCACCCCAGATCGCTCCTCCCGGCCAGAGCCTCGCCGACCTCGCCCAGCAGCGTCTCCAGCAGCAATACACCGCCCAGATGCAGGCCCAGCAACAACAAATGCAGCAGCCCATGATGACGGGCATGCAACCCATGATGACCGGAATGCCGCCCCAGCAAACCGGTTTCGGCCAGTTCCCCCCTCAACAACAGCCCTTCATCCCTCAACCCACCGGCTTCGGTATGCCGCAGCAGCAACAACAGCAAATGCAACAACCTATGATGACCGGCATGCAACCCCAGCAAACCAGCTTCGGTCAATACCCTCAACAGCAACAGCAACAGCAACAGCCTTTTATGCCTCAGCCTACCGGCTACGTCGGTGGCATGGGCGGTGGACTCCCGCCTCCGCTCCAGCCCCAGGCTACGGGCATGAGCTTTACTCAGGGCTTTGGTAATGGACCCCAGCAGCACCAGCAACAACAGCCGTTGGTGCCGCAGCAGACGGGACCGGCGCCACCGGTTAGGTTCGGAATTAGTGGTGATGCGAAGAAGTTGGCGCCGCAGGCGACGGGGAGGAGGGCGAATTTGGCTGCTGCTAGTAAGTTTTATATGTTCGAGGATTTGTGTTTGAAGATGGTATGCTGACAATATGGGTGTGTACTAGCCCCTGATAACCCGTTCGGTTTCTAAGCTTTCGACAGATTATGTGTGGAGGCTTTGTCGGCGTGTTGTGGTTGTAAGTGAGGCAATGGAGTTGAGCGGTTGAGTGGTTGAGGTAGGATCTAAGAGTGTTGGGTTAGTTAAATGGGGATGGGTTGTTGATAGAGATTGTCGGGAATGGATGACGAAAGAGTGGGTGAGTCTAGAGTCGAGTGTTGGAACAGGAAAGTTGAGGTAAGGAAAGCAGCGAAGAGGGTTGGGAAGTTTGATGGCTGGGTGTGGGAAGGTGAGGTGTGGGAAGGTGAGGTGTGGGAAGGTGAGGTGTGGGAAGGTAAGGTGAGGCGAGGTGAGGTGAGGCGAGGTGAGGCAACACGGCAACGAAACAGAAAGGCGAAGTAGAGGAAGAAGAAGAAGGAGCAGGCGGATCGCATAGCATCGTTGTTGCATTTTGTTATAAGGACGATACTTTTTAATATGATAATTACACTAAAGGATGGATTGTCAAGCTTTAGCCAAAACGTTTTGTTGATTGTTGACTTGTTGTTATGGGAGACACCTAGATACGAACTCTGTGCTCTGCTTTGATTCAGTTGGCAACCTCCCAATATACCTTTACGTTGAATAACTCGCGCGTCGTTTTCGAGAATACCATCCAACAATAATCTCGATTCAGTTACTTAGTTTTCATCCAATTTCTATCCCTGTGTTTGAATGTCCCTGGTGGATATTGATCACAAAGTTCACTTTAAATTGAAGTCACATCCAAAGTTGAGTCTCTCTTCTGTTTCATGATATTCCATTACCCCTATTAACCATATCACCGCCCCCAAGAATACCTGATACCTAATAAAGCCAATTGAATACGCTGCATCGATCCTCTTCTCCCCATCGTAATTATGAAACGCTGAAAAATAATGATATATAGCAACCAGCAACCTCCTCCGCTATCGCTTGACCAGCATCTTCTTCTCCTATCAAGTGCTAACAATGTATCCAAAGAAAATATGGCAGAGTAGAATAACCGCCGTAACGGTAGCCAGGAAATCAATGCTGTCGCTTCGCCCGATCTCTAACAACGACCTATCTCTCCTCCTCCTCCTGGTTCCTCCTCTTTGTCACACCCTTCGATGCTGCGCTTGCTTGTTCTGTCACATTGACGAGTTCCACCACGCCTTCCATAGTCTTTTCTTCGGCGACTTCATTTTGACATCAACATACATCCACGGCATCACATCCCTTAAAGACCTCTCTTCTGGACGCGGAATCAACGGTAACATCTCCAGCGGGTTTCCGCCATTTGCAGCGGCCAATGCCTCGATGACACGTCTCAGCGCCGGAGTGGCCGGATCGTCGTCGTCGTCGTCGTCGTCGTTGTCGTCATCATTCTCGCTGGCACTACTGCTGTGGGTAGTAGCCGCGCCCCTTCTGCTGTCGTCCACAGGTAAAGGTACAGGTGAGGATGATGGTGGGCAGAAAAGCATAAGAAGAAGAAGAAGAAGAAGGGAACCCGTGGAATCCGAGACCGAGAAAGGCGCGCTAGTCCTACTGGATTGTTCCCTCGCGGAGCTCCTCGTTGTCTGGGACGAGATCTTCGATGGAGTTTGTGCGACGGGACTTGTTGATGGCGACGGGACGCTTGGGTTGTTCAGTCCCAGTAGACCTGGCGGCCTCCTTCTCCGCAGAAGAACCGACAGTTTCCAACTTCTCCTTCTTGGTCGTCTCCATCTCCTCTTTGGGCACAAACCTCTTGCGCACCGCCGAGACCATCTTGAAGAACCAGTACCAGTTGAGCGTGTTGAGCGTCAGGTTGCTAGCGACATAAAGCCCAGCAAGCCACTTTGGCACGGGCTCGGGCTTGGCGGCGAAGAGCATCACGTTCTCGGCGTCGATGATGGAAGAAGTGGTGTTGTAGTAGGACTGGATGTATTCGGGCGAGGGCGCGTGGTGCACAGCTTGCCACATGTCCTTGTAGACGACGGCGGATTGCCAGGTGCCCCAGATCAGACGACAGGAGAAGAAGGTGACGAGGAGGGCGACGCCATTGTAGAGCTGCACGCGGGATCCGGTCATGTTGAGCTTGTCGCAGAACCAGTGGATGTTGAGGAAGGGGGTCGAGAGCTCGTAGAGGATGAAGGTCGTGGAGTAGAAGTTGAGGAAGGGTCTCTGTTAACAGTCAGGGTTAGTGATGGCCACTTAGTGTTGGGGAGGATGGATAACGGGGCACAAGAACGTACAAATCCAAACGAGTAAACCACAAGAGCGCTGACAGCATGGGCGAGCAGGCCGAACCCGAAGATATCGAAGTTCAGCAGCGTGACGCCCAGGTCCCAGACAAAGTAGCCGCAGGCCAGAGCCTGGATCATGCCCGAGGCACCCGTGTATCCCCAGACGCGCTGCTCAAAGTCCATGGCAGAGCGCTCCTTGTCGGCGTACATAACCCATAGTGCCAGGGCGTTGATGAGGGTGCTCTGGACGAGCGAGACGACGTGAGTGTCCCAGTTGGCCTTCTTGGAGCGCGAGTGCTTGGGGTAGTACTTGGAGAAGAAGAGGTTGGACACCAAGGGCGAGACGACGACGTGGACGAAGGTGTAGAAGGCGGCGGCGCCAATGACTTCGTGGATATGGAGCGGCAGGGTCGGGAAGGACAGACGATCAGCCCAAGGCTGGCTGGCTTTGGCCAGAGCCGGAATCGGGGGGAACGGGAAGGGATCCCGCATGTCGACGGCGATGCGCGGCGGCGGGAGGTTGTGACGATGGGTGTGGATTTCTGGATATATACAAAGCTTCTGTCGGCGACGATGGTCTTTGGGAAGCTCTGGTTATATGCAAATAGCTTATGTGGCAGGTTGATTGCCCAGAGGACACTTTGGAAGGGGTCAAGACTCTTGAGAACCGGGGTCGAGGTGGCTCTCTGGTGGAGGCAGAGGCGGAGATAAATAGAGACCACCGAGGTAGGGCTCTCCTTGTCAATGGAGCCGGCCGCGAACCTGTCAAAGCGGAAGTCTAGAGCTTCGATGGGACAACGTCAGATCGACAAACTGCAACCGTCAACGTGCAGCAGCGAACAGCAGCCCACACAAGCCTAGTTCCTGGACAGCTGGGTATTGGCGTTATTGGTGTGCCCTGTGAGATGGTTCCCTGCGATGAAGGCCGGCACGGGACGAGTCTCAGGCGGATACTTGGGCGAGTCTTTGAAGGTCAGGTACCTCTACCGGTTTATAGGCGCCTTCGTCTGATCGGATGGGAGAGGTCACGGTTAATATAGTATCAAGGCTAGAGATCATGCAAAGATGGGAAGTTTGGAATAGAATCAAACAAAGGAACAACTCGTCCTCTTTAATTTACACAATATGTACACAAATGAGGATGTGGCGCCATGTGCGATCTTGTCACTCTTTTGTCGACCTGGACAACAACGACCTGGACGACTGGACTGACGTTGGCGTTGGGAGGCATCCAGGGCATCCAGACCAGGAAAGTCGAAGAAATGGACCCTGTCGCTCCTGTCGCTGTGCGTTTTGTTGGGATCTTGGGCTTCTTGGCGTTGTCCCGCTAGGTAAGGACCGTAAGGTACCTCTGGGCTCTGACGCTGTCTTATCTTATCGGTTGTTCTCAGTGCTCCAGAATCACATGCGTTCGAGTGATACAAGCTGGTGAGCCTACGATGCCATCGAACATGTCAGCTTCTCCATGAAGAACCCCCATACCTTCGTGTCTCATCCGAGTATCATGGGGAGTTCTCTGAATGACTTTTATAAAAGGTAAGCCCCTGGCCAAAAGGTACTCAACAGACGTGCCTGCCCCGCCATCTTTGCTGCAAGGGCAGGTCATTTGTTGCTTCCCCCTGACCACGGAAGCCGAGGCACAGTCTCACAGAAAGGGCGACTCGCAAGAGAAGGAGGGTTAGGGTATACCGTGCACCGCCCAGGTGCGTGCATGCCAACGAAAGATCACTCAGAATCATCACCAGATCAGCTCTTCACACACAACAGACTGGATTCATTTTCACCCACGCGCCCTGCCTGCTAAGGGCCGAATGTTATCCTACAATTTATTGTTACTACAAAACCGTTTCCCGTCAATTCTTTTAACCTCCACAGATTCTCCCACCTAATTGTCCAGTCAAGTCCATCGCCGCTCCAGCCTATCTTTCCTTCGGTTTTGCCAAGCACGGTCTGATGCCATGAAACCCGGTGTCTCTGTCTCAGAGTCCTCGACGAAGTGTTTTCCTCTTTGGCCGCTGATTTGTATGCCGATATTTCTCCTTTTCGTGTCGTTTTCCTTGCCATCTTCAGCCTCCTCCATCCTCACAGCCTTCCCCGGAAAGGCAGCAACACCAAGCATAGCAGAGATGAGTTCCCAGATGGCGACAAGAAGCCCTAGCAAAGTGCGTGCGTCCATCGGCGGCGTATCGCTCGGATGATTCTTCCCCTCCATCGTCATGTATGTACTGGGCGCGTCGTTTGTTTTGGCTTGTCTCTCCATTGTCCGTCGGGGAGCTGGGCTGAACTCCCACGGACTTTCACTGTCCTGACTGTTATCGACCAGTGTCGTGCTCGAAACCGCCGACCTCGGGAGAAGATTGGGGCTGTCAAGGTGCTCTGGCGAATCAGAACCGCCAACGAAGTCCAGTCCAGCGGCTCTGGCCATACTCTCGTGCGTTGATGGCATCAAGTTTGGGAGAGCATTGGTCAGACCCAGTAGCCTGGGTGGTGTATCTGCTTGGAGCCGCGGAATTCTTGCTTCAGCAATGTTATCGCTAGCTGTTGGACGAGATGCCACGTTGTCGTGATGGACAGACGTCGTTCGAGTGTCGGTCGTCGCCTCTCGATGCGTAGCTGGATAGAATGTGGCTTGTTGGGGCTCCGGGATCACCATTGGAATGCTATGTATATTTGCCTCATCCATGGTCTGAGAAAGATACTGGGCTTCCATATCCAAGGGGAATTTGGTCGCGGAATATCCGTTGCTCCATTGGAACTGGATGGATGCTTGTTTTTGTGGCGTGTGTTTACTTCCCCCGAACTTGAATATCTCCCTCGACCAGCTTTTGAACTTGTCCCGTTTCCTTGCGAGCGTGCCGGTTACCTCCACCGTTAGATGGAAGGCCCTCGCGTTGTGCCCGATGGCAAAAGCTGTGTGGAAGGTTGAGCCATGTGTTGGTCGCTTCTCAAGAGAGCACTCGTCAAGAAACCACTCCAGCCTATTGTAGTTCGGGCACCCGTCGACGGACCTGAGATGGCCAGAGAAACGCCAGCTGTCAGCAATGGTCTGGAGTTTTTCTTTTTGCCTGCCAACGCCGCCAACCTCGAACAGGTTCCCTATTCCTATTGTGGGTATGAGCTCGTCCAGTTGTCGGGTTTGAATTGTTTGTTTGGGTCCGCTCAGTTGTCCCGGGCCAAAGTGTCCGGTCATGAAGACAGCCGGCTCGCTCCTATGGAGCGCATCATCATCTCTCCCCAGGGTTACCGCGATTGTTGCTGACTGAAGCCTGCAGTCAGCAGGTTGACGGAAGGCCAGGTCAAGGTAGAGGATGCCGGCGGGATAAGTGTCACTAGGCTGGGGATTTTCTGGTCCGCCCTTAGACATCTTGCCCCATCTGGACCTCGAGCATAGGAACCGGCAATCAACTTCAACCTTTCCGATTTTTGATGTTTGTCCGATAGGTATAAGAGGCGGAACACTGTCAGGGAATCGACCATAGTCGACGCGGGTATAATTGGGCGGAGATCTGGTCACCCCTCTCCACGGTGCTGACTCGGTTTGCTGATATGCCATCTGTATGAATCAGAGCGGAACGATGTCGTTTGTGGTCGAGTGCGCCCAAGTCAACCAAGCGGATAACACTTGGTTAACAACTACTGGGGAAAAGTGGAATTTATTTGCGTAGAACTCACAAGCACCACTTGCTGCCACCACAACAGATCCACGCTCAGCCTTATTACCTTCCTGCCTGCGTAGGAACACCCTCCAGTCTGCCTAGTGCAGCTGAGCCACTCGAAACCCATTACTAATTTGGTCTGGCATGCAGGCTCCCAGCCGCAGTGCGACCTTGGGGAGAAAGGTGAGACCAATGGCTGAGGTTATTCCGGTTGATTCAAGTATCGGCTTACATGAAGAGAAAACCGCATGAAAAGCCTCGCCAGATATGGGGAAGTCGCTACATGTGTTTGGGTGGATGGCGGGCGCCACTGTCACGGCAACCTTGAAGATAACTATCAAGCGGTTAGTGGTCCAATCGTCTGAGGTGTCCCGTATCCTTTCTTACCACAACGCTTAACCAGGTTGGGTAGCTAAGTTGTCAGCTGCTTACATGACCCCCAAAGCCTTGTGACTAGTTCTCGAGGACGTGTTCATCCCACGGGTCCGCGCTCGTCCTTAAATGAGCGTGGGTGCCACATAGCATCGCTCAGCATCATCATCCTCGGGTCAGATCGAAGATATTCCGCACGTCAGGAGCCCGTACCATGCCTCCCATACCGCCGCCCCCATATCCACATCATCGAGGATTGCGTTCGAGGCTTGATGCTGATGGCTATGAACGCGACTGTGGTGTCCGCCACAATCAACCAAGTCGCTCACGGTCTCCAGTGCGACGCATCATAGACGAATTCGAATTCGGGGATTCATACGGAGCTGAGAGGAGTCTGGTGGCTGTTAGATATCAGTTTCCACCAAAGACCTGGCATCCCAAGGATTCCGTATTGACCTCATACGTCCAAAAGGATCACCACGGAGTAAGCGATAAGAGAGAAAGCGGGTCTCATGGGGTCAATCATATGGATAAATCTAGGCCACGACCTACGTCTGGGCCGAGCACCAACCACCCTTTTAAGACGCGACATAGCACAGATGGCCCTTCACCACCTCGACATGTACCTCCGTACGAACCGAGCATCAAAACCCCTTTTGCGCCGCAAAACAACGGAGATCATGATCTGCCATCTCAGCCTTCGGAAACCAAAGTGGAACAGATTGTTTTCGATGCGGTCCATGATCCCTCCCAGTCATCGAAAGATATTAGTATTCAGTTTCATCTTCCGATCGAGCAAGACCTGAGTCCATATCTGAATGATTTCTGTCGATTCCGGCGCCTGGGAAGATTCAAAGAGGCTAGGGATCTCTATCAGTCCAAGCTCGCAAAACATAGCACCATTCCATACATCCTTATACACTACGCTGAGATGCTTGTTGTGTCGGGGGACTATAAGAGTTTTTACGAACTCATTCACCCCAGCCAGAACGAGCAAAAGGATCGAAGGGCGCGACATACGGCAAACTCAAGACTAATTTTGAGCTGTTAAAACTCGTCACACGTTCACCGGTATCGAACTACACTATCGTGGCCATGGAAACTGTCAGGGGCGTTCTAGAGGACCTTGCAGATGAACAAGTAATGGGATCAACAGAGGTGAGTCGTCCAGGGCTGAGCTCTGTCTTGAAGACATGGAAAAACTCACAAAGATTCAGGTTCAATTGCTCTCCCTGTGTTTTCAGGTATTGGGTCGCTTGAAATCATCTTCGCACAGTCAGGTTGTGTCTCGAGCAGTTCGGGATGCCAAAACATTGTTGGACCTAGAACTCATCTACTACCGCCTACTGAGCGAAGCTCGTATCTGGGACTTCAGGGATCTTCTCATCAGCGCTGTGTCGCTCTTTGGATGGCCGGAGACCATCGCGATGCTTTTCAAGTCCAAAGACACGGACATGGCACTTGCGCGCATCCACGAGGACTGGGCACAGTTGGGGAACGATGAATCCGTCATACTTGGTCTTTTGGACATTTTTACCTCTCTCATGTTGCAAATCCGTCCTCCCGCCCAAGCCACTCATCTTTCGCCACCAGCTCTAGTCGAGCATGCCCGAATTTTTGCAGAATCCGTCCAGAAGAATAACGCAGATAACATGAACACGCGACCTTTCATTCAGTGGATTCTGGCCAAGACGTGGTGGGAAGCGCGCCCAACGCCAAAGCGTTCTGACGGGGCTACCATTGATGATTTCGAGGGGCTCTTGCTCGAGCAAGGGGATGGTATACACCTTCCGGTATTTGTCCCTATCCATCATTCCGAGAAGCCTGACTGGGCAATGGTTTCTGCACGGTCCAACGCGGCGCAGCGGAGCGCCGTTGAGGTTGCGCTAGGAGCAGCAGTGGAGGGAGACGACTTATATCTACAAGCACTGGCCTTGAAAGTTCTTTGTCTGCAACTCCAGGATCCAACCAAGCTTATGGATGTTCTTTCCACTCTGCAGCTTGACTTACAAGGTGATATGGAAGGCTTCCTAGGCACATGTCTGGCAAGATATCTCTCGCTTCCGGAACAAAACGAAGCTGACGAGAAGGCACTTTTGCGAAGCTTTAAGCAGCTCGACAATGTCTCGGGAAACTCGTACCTTGATTCCGGCATCAATCCTTCCTTTTTCTGGGCCCGAGATGTTATCCGAGACCATATTTCAGCGAGGGTTACCGGTGAACAAACCCAACCACCTAGTTGGGGAAGGAATTTAAGGATCTATGGCTCAAGGCTCCCACAGCACATCGCCACATTCATCGAGAACAACTTTCGTATGGAAGTTCCTCCTCCGATGTCTATATCGTTCAATATCATCGGCGAAAGAAAACCACACAAAGATACGCCACCAAAGCGCGTATCCTTCAACATCACCGACAACAAGGACACACTAGAAGATGAAGACACGTCCTCGAAGCCGCCTTACCCCCTATACCCAACTTATAAGCTTGACAGTCAAGATTGGAGAAGTCGACCTGCCAGTCCCGTGTATGATCGAACACGGCAGCCACCAACAGTAACCCGAAATACTGTCCGCGATGCCTATTCTCACGACCCCCACCCTCCCAACTCATATCATCGCGATCCCCATCCTCGCAGCCCAAATCATCACGATTCCTATCATCGCGAGTCCCATCATCACGACTACGACTCATCCGACGGCGAGTATTGGTCTGATGATCAGGAGAGATCCGAACGCCGTAGATGGTCATCGGCGGATGAAAGCGCTCGCCAGAGGAAGGAGGAGCTCGACAGGCTGTGGATGGAGAAGGTGAAAGCGGAAGTTGCGGCATACAAACTTGACAACGAATCGAGGAAGCTTGTCAACGAATCGAGGAAGCTTGAAAACACATCAAGGAAGCAAAGCCTCGCTCAGGGACACGCTCAAGAAAAGGCCCACGAGGACCGCGACGCGCTGGCTCGGGAACGACTGGAGAGGCATGGACTTCCTGCTGAAAGGCCAGAGATGCCAAACTTGTCTCATGAGAGGCAGATTATCAAGGCATACGAATTTCCTGCGCATGAGAGGAAATCTGCCGGTGATCAAGGCGCTGCTGATAATGGACAAAACTCGAACAAAAACGACATGGAAGTCAAGGTCGAAGCCGATCGGAAAGAGCTCAGTTTCTCATCCAAGTTCCTGAAAGACAACACAGTCACGGTTATTGTGCGAAATACAGACAACCCCGAGGAAACAGGATATTATCAAATGGACAGCACTAGACTCCTTTTCAAGCCTGCTAGAGAGATGGATGACAAAGAGATTGCGGCCCTCGAAAAAGTCTCCAAAGCGGACTTTGACCCAACACCCAAGCAGCGCAAACACGATGATCCTTCGACGGCGGCCCAGCCTCCTTTGATCCACCGTTCAAGTTTCCCAAAAGGTGTGACAGTTGTTACCATTCCTGAGAACCAGAGCCATACTTCCGAGGAAGCGATACCCACTGCTCTGGGGATTGGTATAGAAACCAACGCAACAGTAGCACCAACACCAACAACTAGAAAAGGAACCGAACCCACCACAACAATCAAGCCCAACAAGCAGCAGCATTTGGCCAAAAGCACACTGAGGGCCCAAAACAGATCGTCAAGTCGGGCCAGTGCCAGTAGCGCAGACAGTAGCAGCAACCAACTAAAACCTGCGGCGGCGGCAGCGGCACGGAAAAAGAAGGGGACTTCTGCTGACTGGCCAAAGAATAACAATCCGACGACGACGAAAGACCCCTCCTCCTCCTCCTCCGATCCTACTCAAAAAGCTCCCCCTCCTCATAAAGAGGTCATAGGCGAGCCAAACCCAGAAGCAGACACACGACCGAGGAAGCGAGGCACCTGGGATACCAGGGCGGAAAGAGACCCAGGCCTAGTCCTCGGAGTTGGCGTGGATGCCAGCGGCCCAAAAGATGACGATGATGATGATGATGATGATGATGATGGATGGGACGGTCCGCGGGTGTTTGATATGGACGACCTTACCAACAACAAGAACCGGATGGATCGAGCACCGACGCCTCCACCACGAAGAAGCACGTTGCCGCCGCCCGTGGAAGTGGCCCTTTCGGTCCCGGTGGTGGAAAATGCACCCACCGGCCCTCCACCACGACGAAGCACGGTGGAAAATGCCGATGATGAAGAGGATTGGGTTCGCCCAAAACCAGCAGCAGCAGCGGCAGCAGCGGCAGCAGCAAAGGAGCCAGAAACACTTATTGCGGAAATCCCAAGTACAAGTAAGAAGGGGGGCGGGGAAGAAAAAGCGTCGTCTTCGAAGTCGAAGTCCAAGGGTCCCTCCGCGCAAGCAAAAGCAAGTGGCGGCAGCAGCAGCAGCATGAACCCAACAACAGGCTCAGCAGCAGCTAACAACAAGAACCAAAAGACTGCTGAAGATGCGGAGGGGGATGAGAATAATTCAGAGTACGAGTGGGTGGCACGGGAGATGAGTGAAAGGTTGACTGGAGCGAACGATTATATTGACCAAGACCTGCTTCTTTGACGGTCAGGTCAATTTTGACAGACATAGATATGCTAAAGGATAAGTAAGGTAGACAAGTGAGGAGGGCGAAATTTTTGAGCTCATATTATATATTGCGATCATGGAATGGCAATGAGGGTTCATCAGTTAAACGTAAAACTCGTGACAAATGGCCAGAGCAACATGGATATAATCGTATGCCACCCATTCCAGAGTGTGTTGACATTTACACTAAGATATGTTGACGAGTGTTGACATGGTGGAGGATGGAGGCGGCTGGAACTATCCGTCCAGCTGAGTGGTACGAGTCATGTTTATTTTAACAGCAGCCCTATATTACAGCATTCGCTCACTTTTGCGCCCTTCCTGCCCAGCTGACTCGTTCTTCACTTCCACATGCGGTGCTTCTTATTCACCATCCTAATGACTCGTGTTAACCTGCGATAATCTGGAGTATCAGATACTCATAATGACAAATATTCACTACTTTTTGTTTTCCTTCTGCCCATCATCATGTACTTTCTCATTGATATACCGGTTATGATTAGACGTGCCGCTTTCGTTAACTGATCCGCCTGTCTTGGCGGACGTTTCAGTGACCATATTGAGATTGCACAGAACGTAATCACGTCTCCTAACGTGTCCCTAATACCAACTACCAACCGGGCCTCGCTGTTGCAAAAGAATCCCCTCTCTCCTCAAATTTAGTAGCGAGAATCTCGAGCCGGTTTTGCTCTCTAACGGTGAACAGCCCAGGCGTTTTGACCCTCTTGAATCTGAGCATTTCAAGCTCCGCTGCTTCTTCATATCGAGCTTTGCATTTCTTTTGCAAGTTTCGCTTCCTCCTCCTTGCGGGATCGCCCCTCTTGCTCGGCAGACTCGATGTTTGCCTTCACCTGCTCGTTCCTCTCTTCCTTTTCATCTTCTTCCTCCGTCTGGATTGACACGCTCATTGGCTTTCTTCTCGTCCCTGGTTCTGATAACCCTCTTACTTGGCTGGCTTTCTCCTCCTTGCCCTTGGCTTTCATTGAAAAGGGGGTTTTAAAGTACCCTTCCCCTGTCCGCTCCTTGCTGTCCGCTTTGGCGGCGCCGGCGGCTGTGGGGACGGCAGTGGCAATGGTCCTTTCATGTTGCCCTTCGTTTATCTGCACTTTCCGTCGTGACGGAGGCTGCGGTACGCCCTTCATCCGATCAGGGATTGACTCCAGCAAGGCAGGGCCATCTTCTTGGTCCACTTCATCAGAAAGAGTCTCCAAGTTCTCCATGTTCAAGTCGTAGCCGTCAACCACGCTATGTTCTGCTGAGTTGGGATCGTTGTACGCTGTGACACTCCCCCTTCTTCTGTTTTTACTGACAGATTCTTCATTCAGTAGGTCGAGCACCTCTTTGGAAATCCTGGCTCTCCTCGCTGCTCGTGTCTTGGATGAGTTTCGTGTCTTAGATGAGTCTCGTGCCTTGGATGAGTCTCGTGTCTTGGATGACTCCCTCGTCATCCTCTTGTGATACCAGTGACTATCATACTCTGCCGTCGGTGGCATACTCGTCGGCCAACTACTTGTGCGCACGATGCCCTGATTTAGCTGAAAACGATCACTTAGGGTCCTGGTGATGGGCCTGAGAGGCACAGGGCTTCCTGGTATGTAACCCGTACGGTCGTTGTGACCGAATGCCATTTGGTGACCACGCAACTGAGTAGCTTCAGCTTCGGTTTGTTGAATCTTAAGTTGCGACGCCAGATTTTCGTCTCTTTGGTGTTGTCGGCGTAACGCGTGGGGCAACCTGTCTTGGGTAAGACGCCTGTCTTTCACCATAACGGGGTTGGAGACTTTCCTCGGAGTCATACCAGCCTCTCCAGCTAGTTTCCCTGGCCCCGGAGTGGTTCTTTTGGGACTGCCGAGTTCAACCTTTTGGGAATCAGGCTGAGCATCATGAATCTTAGTCGGAGGCTCAATGTTGCCGTCCATAGCGCTTTGCGCAACCCCATTTTCATCTACCACGAAAATGGTTGATTTAGTAGGATCCGTTTTGCTGGTGAGTGTTACTGTCAGCGTGTTGTTGTCTAATAGCGAGGGCGAAAATTCTAGCTTTGGCCATCCCTTATTTACGCGGATAGAAGTGGACAGCTTGCTGCCGTCGTCGCTTTGGGAATTATCAGAATCGTCAACCTTTCGAGATTGGGGCTGAGTATCATCAAGCTTAGTCGAAGGCTCTATATCGGCGTGCATAGCGCCTTTGGCGACCCCGTTTTTGTCTACCACGTAGATGTTTGATATAGTAGGATCAGTTTTGCTCGTGATCGTTACTGTCAGCGTGTTGCTGTCTAACAGCGAGGGCGAAAAGTCCAGCTCCGGCAATCCCTCATTTATGCGGACAGAGGTGATCAGCTCGCCGCCGTCGTCGCTTTGGCAACTGTCAGAATTGATCGCTATCTGATCAGAGGTGTGTTGGACCGTTGCAGTATCTTTTATAGTGCAGCTCTTAAGTCGAAGAGCATGGGAGTTGTCCGTAGGGGCACTGTCGACTCTTTCAACAAAGGGCCTTGCCCCAATTCCTGAGTGATTGTCATTATCCGGCTGGCCCTCAGCACAACCGTGTGGATTCATCAATGAGTTCACGGTATGAACCGGGGCCTTCGGGGCATACAAAAGCGAAGCTAGTGCGCTGTCAGATTCCAAATAGTTGAAAGCGCTCGGGTGGTTGAAATTGAAGTTTCCTGATGTGGGCATTGGGCCCTCACGATTCGCTTGCCTGCCTTGGTCATGACGATTCCTCGCGCCTGAAATTTGATTATCTTCTGAAGTCTGCTCGGATTGGGCGGCCCCTTTACCCAACTGCATGGCAGATATCGATCGCTTTGACGAACTCAGCGTGGAACCGAGGTTTTGGTTCACAAAATCCACAACGTATCGCGGAAGCTTCGTGCTATAGGCATCAAGGTCAAGCCACCAGACCGCTGACTTCTCAAGTTCACCCAATGTCTGGGCTTCAAGGTGTCCACAGATCACGTCTCTGGCCCATAGAAACGTCGGATGGATGAAGGACTTGTTTTGAAACCCCTTGGAGCTGTTTTCAACCTTCTTGAAACTCTCGAGCAGGTTCTCTTCATCCTCTCGGTGTCGCAAGGTGAGATACTTTGAGAGACACGTCTGGAGAAACCCTTCTCTATCGCCCAGCTTGCTTAGCTGCAAACTCGCAAGAGCTTCCAGCACACCGCCTGGATCTTTTGAATGCAGAACAAGTATCTTTAAACCAAGTGACTGGAGAGCGTAATCGCCGATATCAGTGGCCGCCTGAATGGCGACTTCGATCGAGCGAATTTCGGCGGCATTGGCTTGGTTGCGAAACATATCCCAGTCCGGCTTTTCCGAATGCCGAACAGGCACAAAGATAGGCAGGTGTACACCGTTGTCTCCAAGATCGATTAGGAGTCCAGGAAAGTCTTCCAGTATTCTCCCATCAGAACATTGCGGTATTGCACTCATCCCCGCCAGAGTCTTTGCTAGTATCCACTGAATGAAAGGTCGAGTTTTCATGTGTTCGAGGCTGATGGTCTGTATCGTTTCTGCGAGTGAACGAGAGTATATGCAGAGCAACTCTGTGATTTGTCGCTTTTCCGTGGCACTATTCTGTAATATTAGGGAGGTAAAAAGATCAAGGAGGCCGAGAACCATGGACTCGTCAGTCTGGGACTGGCGCCAGTCTTGATTCATTCCTTCGAGGATATCGAAAATGTGTCTCGGTCCGAAGATAAGTGACGCCGTTCTTTGCCATCCATATACGGAAATGGTCGTGACAAAGAGATCTCTAAAGTCCCAGATTCGATGCTCGCCCAGAAGCCGGATATACATCTCACTCCAATTGGTAATGTCTGTTGCAACTTGACAGTCATCATCTTCGGGGCAAATAGCTTGGCCAGAAGAATTCTGCATAAGCTTTATCACTTGAAGGCAAAGAGTGTATAGTTGGATCTAGGATTCATTTTAGCATGTGAACTGCATATACATTGTTTGTGAACATACCTCCGTTGAACCCCAAAGGGTCTCGGTTTTCAAGAACGTAAAGATGGTCCGAACGACTTGCATTATGGCTGCAGGGTAGTCACCAAGTAATGGCTGAGCCAGGAACTTCATCAACTCGAAGTTGGCCGCAAGCTCGTTATTTGGCAATGCAGTACCTATGTGGAAGAAGTCGTCCGGATACACAAGTTGGCGAAATCCGTTCAAATCACCAGCAGCGAAGAGCATCTCAGCATATTGTACGAAAATATATGGAGTCGTCCGGAAGTTATCGAGCTGAGTGTCAAAGAACTCCTTCGCGTCATTAAACCGGCCCAGGCGCTTGAATCGACTAAAGGTCTCAAGGTCGGTTCTCGGATCATCCTCAATAGGTATCTCGAGTTGCACACAAATATCTTTCGTCGAAACTGAGGGGTCGTGAACTGCATCGACAGCCCTACGTCTTTTGGCTTTGGGCTTGTCATCCGTGATGCTGGGTGCTTTACTTTCATGTGATATCCTAGTTATATGCACGGCAGAAGGAACCAGAGCTTTGGCTGTATCCGTACCTGTCTCGGCCATTCTGTCAGTGGACATCTTGTCCGGAGGCCCAACTGAAGTCGTGGTGGGAATCGGCGGAAGTGTTGGCGGTGGAGGAGGCGGCGTAAGCGGCCTGTGTTGGTAGGGCCGTGGCATATCATTGCCGTCAAGGCTATTTGGAGCTGGCTGACGAACTGGCTGATAGGGTGCATATCGAACCGGTACCAATGGATGTTCATGTGGTGGGTCAAAATAATCTTCATTCCACGGCCGCCTTGCCCAGGGAAGACGAGAAGTAGGCTGTGTAGGTTGAAGACGCCTCTGAGAGTGAGGGTCAAGCTCATAGTAACTTGCCTCTTTGTTGAGCCCGGTTGGCATTGTGTGAACGGAATGGCCCGTGGCATGGGGAGTATGGAGGCAATTATGGAAGTGTCGGGTGCCGACACCTAATCGCTAGTCGCTAAAACTTCCTCGACGTCTCGGCTCTGTTGATAGTCAGGCTCAAAGCTGCGCGTCCTGTTCGTGCGTCAGGGTGGCGTATCGACGCGAGTTATAAGGATGAGTTTCCAACTTGCTACTCTAGTAATATGCAAAAATGGGCGAGCAACAAGTTGGCCGAGAATGGAGGTTTCAGGAAACGCCATGACTGGTGGGCAACTCATATCAAAAGGTCAAGGGGTTAGGCGGCCTCAGCTGGGAGAAGGGACTGCAACGGTAATCGACACATCTTATGTCGAACTGTCGGGTTTCGAAGCTCAAGCTGAAGCATAGGAACCTCTGTATAGAGTCGATTCAACCTTGCCAATGTAGGTTCCCATGAAATAGGCTGTACAGAACAGCCATTTGGCCCCCAACGACTTCGCGGTAGGAATGAATGCGAATAAGCGCCAGCCTTGTCAAATCTAAGAGGCGGGGAAAGTCCTCTGCAACTTTTGGAAAGGGGCGAAGCGTCTGGAGATGGCGTCCAGCAGGGTAACACTGCATCAAAGCTGATGTTCGTTTTAGCGAATTGAGAACCACAATTGCAAAGGCAGTAGGCATCCTTCTTCGGGCCTTGCAGTCACGACCCGGTTTGCAATGTTTTCGATTCCGCACATTGTTGCAGAGGATGCAGAGGCGGAAGGTAAGGTAGTATCAGCTTCCTGGGGGTCGTTGGCAGAAATTCTCATGTTATCTACTCCCGTCATATGGGTTCACTGGTTAAATTCTGCACTTGCCCTGTACAACACGTTAGTAACACGTTTCGATGTCGGCGCCAGTTGATATAATACCTCTTCTGAAGCATCAATCACCCACCTGTTTCGAACCATGGAACGACCGACACGGCCAGAACTGCTTGTCAAGACACAGAGGTATGGACGATGTGACTATGAAAAGTTTGACGACAGCATTTCGTCCATTGTCCGTGCCGGGCAAGGGTCGATTGGGAAAGTGAAGGTTGACTGCCGGTTCCTCCTTACCAAATCGCAATGGGGATACATGGGATCGAATCCTGGGCTTCGCAAATGCCCGGCTGGTATCATCTACTTGGACCTCGACATAGATCAACCCCGGGACTGCAGGCTAGAGTCAGCAACTTTCACCGTGACCCTTGAGGAAGAGTATGATGATACGGATGTTGTATCACCGAACCTGCCAATCTTCCCGGTAACAATGACCGACTATTATGGCCCGAAGCAAATCCGCGGCGTAGAACGAACGAGGCAAATAAGGCGCAAGAAGCAAGTTATACCAGAGGTCAACATACTAGGCCATGGCATGGGTGGACTTGGTGTCGAAACCGAAAGGAAGATGGATGAGGCCGGCAGATGGGCTTTCTCGGGGCATTTGGATTCCAGCAACGGCGGTCACATCTACAACCGATTGGTCTGGAGGTTGGACGAAAACTCTCTTGAACAACAATCGCTGCACAAGCCCACAATCCACACAGCATTCGCATTGCAACACAATGCGAAAGGGTTCACCATGACTGTCGACGTGAGTGGGAGGCTGGACGCGTGGACGGACAGGTTCAAAACGAAAGTGAAAAGAAAATTTGGAGGGAGCAAGGCCAAGGCGCGAGACACGGCGAGCATCAACTTCCAATGGAGCCAGGGCTATACCTCATCTTCATGGCTGGATGAAAATGCTCGAAGTCTCCCACACGCAATGGAATATGAGAACATGCTCAGCATCCCAATCGAGATGCCCGACGCCCTCCCAGCCAACTTTGGCCCACCCCAAAGATTCAACACGGCCAACATACCTCATCACAACTCACACTATGAGACCACGCATAATGTGCAACGGCCGCCCGGAGGCCAGACGACCTGGGCGATGCCTGGACTGCATGCAGAGACACAGCCTGGATTGTTGGAGTCCGGTGGTCCTCTTCAGCATTTGCCGCCGTTAACACTCGAGGATATGGCCTTTGCAGCTGGCTTCTCGCCATCTCCTGCTCCCCCCGTAGCTTCGAGGCAATCGGAACGCTCTCCGAGGTCACCGGTGTCAAGTGACGTGACGATGGTGGAAGAGTGTAGGGAAAGCGAAGGCATTATACATAACACGGCCACAGAAGATGAGGATGACGAAAATGAGGAGGATGAGGCCGTGGATGAGGATGTCGTTGTGAGACCAAGGGAGGCGTATCGAGAGGCTCGGGGTCGGAATGGGGCCGAGGCGCAGAAAAGGATGAGATTGCAAAAAGGTGCCTGCGAGAAAGAACAAGTAGAGGAAAAAGTGGAAGAGGACGAGGCGGAAGGAGAGAGGATAGATGTTGGCCTGTTGCTCCTGCTGTATTGGCTCCGATCGACGGGCATGACAATTTTGGAACTCCTCTTCGCCGTCTTCACCTTCCCTCCAGTGCCAGCCACCCCTCCTATTGTTAAGTCAGTCCGAGAAGTGGAAGGAAGGAGAAATAGAATAAGGCAAGAGGGACACAAAACGCAGAGATTGAGGAGGACACCGAAACCCATTGCCCCGCGAAAAGAGAAAGTGCCGTGGGAGGTGCGGTCTGGCGAGGAAACACTTGTTTGTCTGGGTTCCACCAATGAGTTGAAAAGGGAACAAAAGGAAAGAGTGAGGCAGAAGATGAAGTGAGATGTCGCTACTGAGCAATGTTTTGTGGAGGTGGTAAAATACAGCTGAACATGAAACGACGCAGAATGTCCAGTCGTGACGTGACGTTGTTGAGATTGAAGAGAATTGGACAATGACGACGGTAAAAGATCTGGTCCGTCTTGTGGGTGGTGTTTGTTGCAGCAGCCAAGTCGTCGCTGCCAAGGGTCCTGTAACTGACCCGCATGGCCCCTGAAATCAATCGCTATTGGAGGACTGCGCACTGACCACCTCCCCCCAGTGCTGTGGGTTGGACGCCGCTTCCCTTCTAGAGAACACCAAACAACTATCTCCAGCCTGGAAGGAAGCTGAATGTTATCCACACAATCTCCCCTCATCAGGTAATATCCCGAATCTCAATTAAAAGCAAAAGTAACTAACAATGTCATGTTAGAACTTTTGATAACAAGAGCTTCTTGAGACTGATATCTCATTGCGATTCTTAGCTTCACCCTGACCCTTTTGGTTATCCTCAAGTGGTGGGTCCTCAACCGAGTGGGCAACCTCCTGAGAGTTGACGCGTGCAGCGAGCTGAGGTAGTAGAGAGGCCCAACGGCTGTCATTAAGTTTGGGCTGGAGGATCAATCTCTTGATACTTTCGCCGAGTCATCCTTTAGGATTATTGCCAAGTGAAAATGGCAGATCTCCTTTACGACCTGCTGTCCCCTTCCTCAGGGGATCCATCCTCGAGGCCGGCACCCGATCCAAGCTCCCTCGAGTATCTAACCAGTCTCTCATCACAACCCCTCACAGCCCTGGAGACAACCGAGCCACAAGCACTCGCCCAGACATCACACGGCCTCCTCCTCTCCATCCAGTCTCTTTCCAAAAAGTCTCACAAGCAAGTCATCGAATCAGCAACCCACCACTCCACCCTCCGAACCAGCCTACCTGCCCTAGCCGCTAGCACCGCCGACCTACGACATTCCATCCCCAAGCTCGATCATGAAGCCGTCCGCTTTTCGACCAACTACAGTAAATCCAGCGAAAGTGATGTCCTTCTCCGACGCAAGAAGGCGCTTTTGCTCTCTCGAAATGTTGAGCGGCTCGTCGACGTGCTGGAGCTGCCCAACCTTCTCTCGACAGCCATCTCCACCGCTCCCGTCAACTACTCATCTGCCCTCGATCTGAATGGCCACATTCGCCGTCTCCACTCCCTTTACCCAGACTCACCCCTCGTCACCTCCATCGCCGCCCAGGCCGACGAAGCTATGCGCACCATGGCCGCCAACCTCATCCAAAGTCTCAAGTCCCCAGGTCTCAAACTGGCTGCTTCGTTACGCACAATCAGTTGGCTGCGTCGCGTCTTGCCGGACCTGGAAGCCGCCGGCACAAGCAAGGGACACGACTCCCAGGAACGGGTGCTCGGCGCCCTCTTCCTAGTCTGCCGACTAACGACGCTGGTGAACATGCTCGACGCTCTGGAACCGTTACGCGACTTGGCAGACCAAGAAAAGGCAAGGCAAAAAGCGATTGGGAGTGGGAACGCGTGGTCCGGCGGTCAGCAAACGGAGCGGTATCTCAAACGCTACATTGAGATCTTCCGTGAGCAGAGTTTCGCGATTGTGAGCATGTTTAGGAGCATATTCCCTCCTGCTGCCCCAACGGGGAATGGAAAGGAGGGTTCTGATGATCCGTCAAAGCAAGAAGATGCGCTGGAACCGATGCCGGCTGCGTTGGCGACGTTTCCGCTGCATTTGGTGGATATGTTGTTGGAGACACTGAGACTGTATCTGCCAACGGTGAAGGACCAGGCGTCGAGGGATAGTCTGCTGACGCAGGTACTCTACTGTGCCGGCAGCTTGGGAAGGCTGGGAGGTGACTTTGGGCTGTTTTTGGCTAGTCTAGATCTGGGGCCGGAAGCGGAGGAAGAGTGGGTGGAGGTTGTGAAGAGACATCGGGCTCTGGCTGGGAGGCTGGAGTCGATTGTTGGCGATCAGAAGAAGTAAAAAGTAGGACTGGATGAACGCCCAATCTACCAGTTACAACTGAAGCGAACTAAAGCCTTTCGGCAACGATATTTAGACCTAATACAACTAATCAGAATTCGGTGTTCAGGGCCCTCCAGCCAGCAAGATGTTGTCCGATGTATATACCCGGCACAGAATTGGAGCTTCAGTGGAACTTATTCCTTGTCCACCATTGCTTTTCCCCTTTGGAGCCGTGGTTTATCCCCATTCAAACAGAAGTTCTCATCAAAACGATCTATCTTCCCAGGAGATGTCGAAAGTGGACCTAACCTGAAGCCGCTTCCGGGGCCCCGGCCTGTTCGGACTCATGGTGGAGTCTTTTAGCGGCCCCGCAGCGGCAGGGTGGAGTCGATCCCCGAACGGCGGGGCAGTCCCGAAAAAAAATAATTCGGTGACTAATGCCGTCATAGTTCCTTGTCCCTGCCGTTCCGGGCAACAGCAACCTTCCCCGTCGCTTCTTCTCTCCACAACCGCGGCAAATACCTAGTCCACCTTCCAATCGACAGAAGCGCAGTCACGATGTTCCTTTGTCTTTAGCTTGATTTTGTTTTCCATCCTCCTCTTCCTTCTTCCCCAGCGGAACAATCATACCTACGGTCATGGTCGGTTTGCGCCACGCTTAAACCCTCTCTTCCATCTTCTCGACCACCGAGCAAAGGAGAGCACCAAGCTCGCCAGCGAAGCATTGCGCAACCATGTCCGATGGTTCCCGTAAAAAGGGCACGAAGTCCAGTACGTCCCCCGGCTCCGCTATCGCAATTATTGCGACACCCTTAAGGGCTCTCCGCTAACCAACTCTTCCTCGACAGCCTTCCACTTCGTAGCCGGCCTCGGTTCCGGCGTCCTCTCCGCCATTCTCCTACAACCGATCGATCTCCTCAAGACCCGCGTCCAGCAATCCGGCAAACACTCTCTCCGCGCCGCCCTCGCCGAGCTGCGCTCCTCCCCACAGGGCCTCCTCCCTTCTCTCTGGCGCGGCACCCTGCCCTCGGCCCTGCGCACCGGCTTCGGCTCCGCCATCTACTTCACAACCCTCAACACCATCCGCGAGAATGCCGCGCGCCACCTTCCCTCGCTCGCAGCCGCCACCGCCGTCGCGCCGACCATAGCCGCCGCCTCCGGAATCATCACCCCAAACGTTACAAACCAAACATCCTCCTCACTCCCCAAGCTCTCTAACACAGGCAACCTCCTCGCGGGCGCCGTCGCCCGCTCCTTTGCGGGATTCATCCTCATGCCGCTCACCGTCCTCAAAGTCCGATACGAAAGCTCGTTTTACAAGTACACCTCCCTAGCTGGCGCAGCCCGAGATATTGCGCGAACAGAAGGAGCGCGCGGTTTCTTTGCAGGTTTCGGCGCAACGGCTATTCGCGACGCCCCATACGCCGGTCTTTACGTGTTATTTTACGAACAGTCAAAACGATACCTCAGCAACGTATTCCCTCAACCACAACTATCTTCACAAGGAGAAGGGCGCATGACGCAATCCCGCGCCGCCTCGATCAACTTCGCCTCGGGCGTCTTCTCGGCAGTCATTTGCTCGATCATTTCGAACCCGTTTGATGCGGTCAAAACAAGGATCCAGCTGCAGCCGAAGAAGTACAGGAATATGGTGCAGGCGTCGAAAAAGATGCTTGCAGAGGAGGGTGTGCGGAGCATGATGGATGGGCTGGCGCTCAGGATGAGCAGGAAGGCGATGAGCTCGGCACTGGCGTGGACGCTTTATGAGGAGCTGATTAGACGGGCGGAGGGGGCGTGGAAGAAGGAGGGCCGGAAGAGGTTAAGCTTTGAGAGCGGAAGAGATGAGAAGTGGTGAAGTGGTGAAGTGAAGGAGGGAAAGGTGTTGATCACCTGGGTAGGTATGCGGTGCGATTTTCGATGTCAGAAAAAGAAGCAGCTGAGGAGAAAGTCGCAGGCAGAAAAGTCTGGGAATTGGGACCATGAGCGTGTCCATGCCGGAGTGGGAAAAGGAAAAAGTTTACTGCAGGCGGTAGGTATGGGTATGGTTACGCAATTTGGTTATTCATCATGAATGGTGTTTTGTGGTTGTTGGGGTCATCGGTTTGTATCACCACCATTATAGATATCCCTCTGCTCAGCGATTAACGACATGTACAATTAGCGATCAACAAAGACTTTGTGTAAGATATGAGACGAGACGAGGTTATGGCATTTTAGGTCATGGGTCGAGGAAATGTCATTCAACCTCTCAGAATTATAGAGGACGCAAAACTCTCAGTGATAAATATGAAGTCATATTTTCTCCTATCGTGAGATGAGATGGTGTGAATGTAAATAATTTCGTTTCCCTCAGCTCAGCGTGTGTTTCTGGAGCTCATCCAATCCTTCTAACCTAGGAGTAAAGGGTATCTGTATCGAGAGGAAAACCCAACAAAAGCAGTGATTTGATGATGATGGATGTCTGTGTCACTACCCAGACAGCCTTCGCCATCAGCCAGAAAAGAAAGAAGAAAAAGTAAGCGATGCATTCATTTCATGATCCAAAAAACGAGAAAGAAACAAATCCAAATCATTTCCCATCCATGTCATCCACCCATCCAAAGATTCATAACATCATCCCTCTCTCATCTCGCATATCCCTCCTCCTCGGCTCCTCCTCCTCATGAAGGCCTACCACCAGCCAAATACATCAACAAACTGGGACTCTTGCTGCGATGTCTCGTGCTGCTCTTCTTGCGCACAAACTCAAACTGGTCGTCGTCAAGGTGGCTGCTGTGGCGATGGTGGCTGCTGCTCGAGTGGCTGTGGCTGTGATGGCGCGAGTGCGAGCGATCGCGGTGCTTGTCGCGCTTGTCCTTGATGACCAGCGTCTCAGATACCTCCTTGGTGACGACGGTGCGGATCTGACGCGTGTGGTCCCACAGTTGCTGTTGCTCCCATTCGGGCACCCAGCGCTTGATTAGGACGTAGCCTGGTTCCTGTTGGGGGTTAGCGATTTGCAGAAAAAGGGGGGAGGGGAATAAAAAGGAGAAAGGGGGGTGGGGGTATACGTACAGCATCATATTCGAAATCGATCTTAAAGTGGTAAAGGGTCTCAACGTCAAGATGGCGCAGCGACATGCGAGTGTAGGTGGGACGGGCAATCTGCCCTTGCTTCCTCTCCTCCCTCTCGCTGTCGCTGTCGCTATCGCTGCCCTTCTTGCCCTTCTTGATCTTCTCCTTCTTGAGGATGGCCGCGATGGCCTTCTCGTCCAGACCAGAGTTGATCAGATCCTCCTGCAGACGGCGCTGGTACTCCTTCTCCATCCGCTCCTTCTCCTCCTTCTCCTTGGCCAGGCGCTCGGCCTCCTTGGCCTTCCAGCGGGCCACGGCCGCCTCCTCCTCCGCCTGCTTACGCTTGCGTTCCTCTTCGGCCTTCCTCTCCTCCTCAAGCCGCTTGAGCTCGTACTCGCGACGCAGGCGCTCCTCTTCTTCCTTCTTCTCCTTCTCCTTGCGGATGCGATCGAGCTCCTCCTTGGCCTTGCGCAGCTCGATCTCCTCCTGGAGCTTCTTCTGCTTGCGCTCCTCGGCCTCCTCGCGCTCCAGCCGCTCAAGCTTCTCCTTGGCGCGGAGGAGCTTTTCTTCCTCCTCGCGGGCCGCGGCCCGGCGCCGCTCCTCCTCCTGCCGCCGGATCATGTCCAGGTGGAACTTGGCCTCGTGCAGCTGGTGCTGCTTCTCGTACTCCATCTCGCGGCGGTGCTCTTCTTCCTCGCGGCGGCGCTCTTCCTCGCGCCGCTTGATCATGTCGAGCTCGTACTTAGCTTGCGCGAGCTGCTGCTGCTTCTCGTAGGTCGCCTCCTTTCTCTTCTCCTCTTCCATGTGGCGCGCCTCTTCCTCTTTGCGCTTAACGAGGTCAAGCTGGAACTTGGAGTGCACCAGCTCGTCGTGTTCCTTGTACTTGTCGCGCTGGCGCTCCTCTTCCTCCTTGCGCCTCATGAGATCAAGATGCACCTTGGCTTCGTAGAGCTTATCGTGCTCCTCGTGCTGCTCTTGCATGCGGCGCTCCTCCTCCTTGCGTCGGATGAGGTCCAGCTGGAACTTGGCTTCGTGGAGCGATTGCTGTTCCTTGATATGGCCCTGCTGGCGGTCCTCGTCGTCCTTGCGCCGGATCAGCTCGAGCTGGAGCTTGGTCTGGTGGTAGTCGACATCCCTGTCGTGCTCGGCCTGGAAGCGCTTTTCCTCGGCGGCACGCTCGAGGCGCTCAAGCTTGGACTCGGCATCACGCAGGCGAAGTGACTTTTCTTGGTCGTGAGCGGACCTGCTCCGCTCCTCCTCAAATCTGATTGCCGCCAACTTGTCCCGGGCCCTGATCAGCTCGATCTCATCTTCGTGATACTTCTCCTGAGTGAGACTTTGCTTCTTCTCTTCATTGGCAGCCCTCACGGCCGCGAGCTCGGCCCTCATTCTCTCCAGTTCAATCTTGGTGTGGACTTCATCAAAGTTGCTCTCGCCGCTCGACGACCGGCGGCTGGCACGGCTGTGTGCACGGCTGTGAGTCTTGCGGCCCCGCTTGCTGAAGCCGGCGTGGACATGGAACTCGGATTCCGAGTCGGACGAGGACTCAGAGGAGCTGTGATGACCGCGGCGGATGATGTTCTGGACTACAACCGGTGCTGCCTTGTTCGCAGGAGAAGGGGGTGCTGGCATGACCATACCGGGGGGAGTTGAGCGGCGCTCACGCGATCCTGCGCGCGACCGCGAGCGGCTCTGGTGGGTATGGGTAGCCACGAGGGTGCGCTCATTGACCACAGAAGGACCACGTTGTTGTTCCCAGTAGGGACGTTCCCTGGACGGGCCGCCAAAGTCGGATCGGGATACGGACTGGATGTAGGTAGGGCCACGGTTGCGATCGGGCGAAGGCGACCTGGGAGGGGGACGGACCATGCCGGGAGGCGGCGCCCGATGGACACGGATGTCGATGCCCGTGGACGCCAGCGACTCGTCGTCGCTATAGTCGTGATAACGACTTCCAGCGCGACTCATCTTGTCGAAATTTATATGAGTATGGGTGACTAGGTTTTTGTTTTTTTGGGTGAGACGACCGGAGCCAAACTGACTGACACTGACAGAAGGCAATAGTGAGACAGGACTGGAGGAAAGGCTCTCAGGCTGGGTTGTCGCAAAAGAGATCAGGCTCGAGAGAGAAAAGCGGCACACGGAGGGGTCAGAAGGAATATAAGCCCGGTCTTAGTTGAGGGCGGGGTGTGACCCACCACTTATTCTGTGGTCTAGCGCAGGGGAGGCAGCATGGGAGAGCATCAGGCGGAGGGAAGGTCTCAAGGGACCCATGAGGCACGATGGTTGGGATGGGTCAGCTCGGCCCCAGCCAGACACGTTAACGGCACAGTGTGTACGGGTTCTCACTTCCAGTCTGGTAGGCAAGCAGGTATTCCCAGACGGACCACACCCCTTGGACACGGTCAAAACATGACGGCTGAACCGGCATGTGCCACGCAGCCGCTGAGCCAAGGAACCGACGAGAAGGCCCAAAGATACTGGAGGGGCTAGCAACGGTGATCACGCCTTCTCACTCGTTTCTCACGGTGGCCCGGCTGTGGTTGGTCAAAAGCGGAGGGTGGCCGGTGGGGAGGGGGCAGCAACGAACCCTAGCGGTTGCATGTTGCAGGCGCCCAGAGGCGGCATGATGAGCCAGTGAGCCAGTAAATGGACCAGCGATAGACAAGGTGCTGACGGAGAAAAAGCTGAGGTCTCAGAACGTGATCTGGACGAGTCGGCGGTGGATGTTTGTGGAGTGTGGACAATGAAGATCCCAAGATCCAGGTGCTTTCTGTTATGGCAAAAAGCAAAGCCACTCCGTCTCGAATGCCGAGTGAAGGACAAACAAGTCGCGCAGTTGCAAACCTGAAAGAGTCTGCGACGATACCCGCAAAGGAGGGGTTTCACGGGCTGTGGTTGGGTTCTGAAGCTGAGCCTCTCGCCAACGACCCTGACGATCGAGGGTGGGTTTAACTGGAGGGTCCTCTGAGCTGCCACTATGAGCTGCTGTGACTGGTATCCATCTTCCGCGTCGGGTGTATCAATATGTTGTGTATGTGTTTGCGCTCCGTGGTTTAGTCTCACCAAATATTTGCTCGCTATTGATTTCCGGGCTTGAAGGCGAATTCGATTGTTTCCTTCCTCGTCGTCTTTTTCCTTGTGAAAAATATGATTCCCCATCTCACAATGCAAATGTCCACTGTTGTGAACCCAAAACTCGGGAATGCCGTCGCTGAAAGTCGCCATGCATAGGGCTAAGTGAGGGGCTGTACCCAGGATGCATGAAGCGTGCAGTAACCGGTTCTTGGCAGCGGAATGAAGGAGGGGGATCGATATCTGGCTGCCAGGCATCAACAGCGTGTGCCCCTGGCTTGTGAGCTTTCAGATGCTTTGCTTCCAAGGAACACTGTGCTTGGCTGTCAGCCGGGTGTTACCTCAAGTAAGATGTATCGAGATCAATGTGCAAAAGGGGATTGAGGCGTTCGTTAGGTGGATGCTAGAAAAACAGTTTGAGGGCATTCCGACTGCTGGAGAAATGGCTGCCGTTTAAGTTAGGTACCAACCAAAGAATGGATGGCCCCACCAGAGCCTTTTCGTGATGAATCAGGCATGGCGATTCGTACCTAGCTGCCACCATACAATAAAAAGGAAAAGGATATATTGTCTGCATGTGCACACGAAAACTCAAGGTAAGGCGGGCGCCGGTGACACTGAATATGCTGTCATGATAGGCAACTGTATGCTGTATCCCCTAGCATTGCAATTTGTTTCTGTCATCGTGAAATGGTCAACACCTCAACGCAACTTGGAGCTTGGGCACCGTGCTGCCGAGCTCGGCCGGGACTTGGGCCGCCATCCCCTTCCGCTGCTGCTGCTGAATTAAGCGCCTGCTAGTAGCTATCCCCGGATGGACTCCGCAATGTGTACACAGCCGCCTACGTAGCGAGCGGCATACCGTTCGGTTCGCGGGCCATCCCGTTTCATACTGGACCTCCAAACTCGAAGAAAATGCTGTAATAGTTTCGACCGCTGAACGTGATAAAAACCCTGCCATTTGACACCTAAACAGAAATGCTGTGAATGGAGCCCGAACGATTTCTTATTTCCGGGACATCGCTTGATACTAGGGCGCCAAGCTCATTCGGCGCTTGAAGCAAAACGACCTCGCCTAGCTCCCCTCCTTTCTCTCGCGCTTAAATCCTTGAACGACAACGACCCCCCTCAAGCCTGCCCGCTACCCTTGAGCATCTTCTCAATGTGCTCCATGCTGTTCTTCGCTGTCGTCTCGAGGTAGTGCAACCTCTTGCCCAGGTTCTCCACCTCGGTCTCCATCTCCTTCATCTCGGTGCCTAGTCTGTCCTTGAGTGCTGGGACGGGGACTGAGACGAACCTGTTGGATTTTGGTGTTTCCGGTGAGTATCTTGTCAAGTGAACGAAAACCTCGCTTGGTAACCCAGACGATTTGTGGTCGTTTTTAAAGCAGTTGGACCAAGAGAGAGAGACAGGGGATACCTACATCTTTCCGACACCCTCATACACGGCAGTGCTCTCCGGCAACGTGGCGAGCTCATTCCGTGTGAGCTGAGCCAGACGCATCTCACGCTGCTTGGACGCCTGCTGGGTGCGGACGAGACCGATTTGTTGCTGAGCCGCGATCGACTGGGCTTCGATCTCACGGACCAGCTATCGATGACGTTCAAGTCGGTGTTAGAGCTTCACAATCCAATGCGACTCGAGAAAGGTTGATGGGATGGCAGGTGGTTGGTGCCCGACTCACCTTTTGGAGAGCTTCGTTGGAAATGGACATTATCGCGGGTTGTGGTTTGTTCAATTAGGTGAGCAGGTATTCAGGGTAAAGTGGCTCGGTGATCGGATCCTCGGTTTGGGTTGGTTCGTCGTTGTTTTGGTGTTTGATATCTGAAAGTCCAAAAGGGGGAAGAGACAGCGGGAAGCTGTTCTGTGGTGGAAACGCTGGCGGCGGCGACCTTTGGTGGTGGTGCGCTGGAGATGCACAGTATTTGGTTGAAAGTTCGCACATACCTGCGGTTGAGGCGCTTTGGGTCCGATCGTCTTTCTTCCCGGGCCAACATAAAATGCAACAATTTTTCTTAAACATTTATATTACATTGTCTATATATGCTTACTGATTCATGTTTCTCCATTCCTCTTTTAATGGACTTGTTTCCTTCGGCGACATTCCTGCGCCGCTTCTATAGTCGAGACATCGCCTTTGGGGTCGTAGTTGCTTTTCAACAACCATACAGCAGTACCGCGATACGAACCACTGCACCGATACCCCCCTTTTCGGCAATTATGTTGATAGCGACTTGGAGTCTTCAGTGCGAAGTGCTTCCTGGCCATTGGATAATCTGCCCTCGAGAAAGGTCACCGTCATCGGTTTACCAGGAGGGCTCCGCCTCCGTGCCAGGTAGCATCATCCTGCCAACAAGATGGCCCAACCTTCATCTGCACATCCTCTCCACGTCGGCCATTAGTCTATTAGTTGACTACACCCGTCCTCTTCTGGGTATCTTCAGCTGCTCTTAGTTGCGCCCTTTTGAGTCCTGGGAACGACTTGGGGAATGGAGCTCCAAGGCCTCCAGTCAAGCATGAACTTCTCTTCCTCACCAGCAAGGCAACGAACAAGCCAGATGCGCCAGAGAATCATTTCGTATGCTATATGGGTGTGAATGTCAGTCAACGAATTACCATGATACTAAGGACTGTTGGAATGCACTTACCACCTAGGCCAGTAAGAATGTGCCACCATCCATGACCTTCAAGTACAATCGACCAGGGGAGCTGTAGCTGGTTCTTCGCGGTGGTGAGATGTTTGCAGAAGATGTTGTCCATATTCCAGATGAAAAAACCACCAACAAAGGTGATGATAGCTATTTTGTCCCGTTTGTTAGCGTGTGTCCTTCTGAGTTGGCAAAACAGGGCTGACTTACAAACCAAGGCCAACGTCCACATCTCACGCATGAGCCGACTGCAGTGGGTAGGGTTTCTCTCCCTCAGTTGCGGCCTCAACTGATACTCCATAACATAGAAGCCGCGGAAAACGGTGGTGGCAGTGATAAGGGCAAATGCCACTTGGTGAAACACTGGGTTTTTGGCATAAAGATAGTAAACCTAGGAGTTTGCGTTAGTTCTGGCCTCACTCAGAGAGCGAATGGTTATGTCACATACAGTGATGAAGATGCCAAGTCCAATCATGACCAAGGCAATCAGAATCTGGGTCCTCGGGGATCTCTTGTAGGAGAATGTGGCATAGCACATGATAAACACGGTATAGATCATGGGCAGCTCATCGGCGAGTTGCATCTCATCTGATTAGCTTGTTAGTCTTCCGAGGCTAAACCATCACACAAGAGCTCACTTGCACTTAAGAGTCGCATGGAACGCCATGGAGCCGAGCCCAACCACCATGTAGCCAAGGTAGGCAAGGAGAAAGATGGGCGAGTGCTTGAACTCAAGGACATTTCGTATCCCTTTGACTCCAAGCCACATAAACATTAAGTTGGTTAATGTGTTAACCAGCTCAGCACAGTAGTATGTGATGTTATAATCCTATATGTCAGATACATGGTGAGTTTCGTGGGTCAAAAAGGGGAGGTATAATTCGGACATGGGTTTAGGGTACCTCTTCACACCAGTTCAAAGTTGATGTTTGCTCTCCCCAGAAGCCATCACGGGCTTCCCGATAGGGAATCTGAAGTATCGACATTTTGGCTCGTGGCTAAACTAATAGCGTAGCGTTTCTCACCAGCCGCTTAGACGCACTGCTACCACACAGAACTTCGGAATGGTGCCAAGCCCAATCAGAAGGAGTAGTCTGGCCCGTTTGGGTGGCTGAATTGGGAATTAGAGATTGACACTTGAAGCTTGCAGATGGGTATCGTGGAGTGTTAGAATCGGACTGCAGTCGAAGCGGATCTCTCGGTGTACTGGATATGTCCGTAACTTTCGTGTTATTCGTCGGTCGTAGGGTGTAAGCCACACCTTCGGGTCTACAAGACAATATGTGCGAGGTGGCACTGAGAAGGCCTCTGAGTTCCTGTTTTGGAAGTGAGAAAGTTGAAATCCCAAGCAATGAGATACAAGATATTTGAATTCAGAAGAGAAAATCGGCTCGAGCTCGGTGTAATTGGAAACCAAGAGAATCCCGGATATCTCGGAACAGTACGAAAATCGAACAAGACAGAAAGTAGCGCAAACCATGCAAGCTAGGAACGGTGGCTCTTTCCTCACAACAGCAGCTCGAGCATGACGATATTGCACTTGAAATTATAAAAGGTGAGGAGGCTTGCTGGGATAGCTATACCAAGCCCATAAAACATGGAAGCAACCCAACAACATTCGACAAGATCGATCGAAAGCTGGAAGTTCTTGGTGACAACTAGATCCACCAAAAACGTTGACGTTGGGCAGTTCGCGCAACCCGGCAACCGAGCGTAGTTTTGATTTCAAAAAACAGTCCGGACGAGGATCCTGGATCAGTGTTCGCCCTGGCGCAACATTGTCACCAGCACTCTGCCAAAGCAAAAGCAGGAAGGCTTTACTTGCACCGTTCGTAAGCGTCGACGCTGGACGATAAGAAGGGCATGATGCCTCGACCCGTGACGGAATCTATATCCAGCATTTTCGATGACAGTCAAGAGAAAAACCAGCACAACTTCGATTCTCTGGCAGCCAAGTGATCATTGTGTTGATCATCGACTGACAAGGTAAAACCAAAACAAGAGCAGGGAAGACACCGGAAGATGGTTCCTGTCACATGTGCCTGGAAAAAAGCGGAAACCTCAAAAGCGGGACCCAACGTAAGTCCCCACCTCGGTAGAGCTTCTGCTCCGTCCCGGCAACGGCCCCGCTCGGCCCGGATCCGGATGGCCCGTGCATGTCGCAAGTACAGCCAAACTGCCAAAGTGGAAGTTACACAACGTCGGGTCTGGTGTACAGCTCGAGCTTACAGCGAGCAGATACAGCATGCCACAGTGGCTTTAGTGGAGGTGGCACCTGCTACAACCAACTCCCCTCTGCATTTGTCGGTTGTCAGCTTGTCATGCGATGATCTCGAAATGAAGAGATATCTGTCCTGGAGATTTTGAACAAGGAGTCCGGAAGAAAGATTGTTGATATCAACAAAGCCAAGCCCATAAAGAGGTACCTGCCAGGGACAACGACATAACCGCCGAGCGCGTTGGGGATGCCAAGAACTCGGCGCATCCTCCGACGTAGGCAACAACATCCTCGAGATTCCGGGAGACATTGACCACGACGAGACGGACGGGACCATTGCGGATACACAGACCATCGAGCCTAGCGCCAACCACGACAATCGCGTCGAGTGAATCCGAAACCATTTGTTCACCAAGTCAACAATTCCTGAACGACGACCACGGCAACGACGGATCCATGTGACAGCCAACCACCGGTACCTGACCAACTCCAGACACCTTCCTTGACCTGCCATCATTGGATGGCCACACCATCACATGGCATCACCCGCTAAACAAGCCTCGTCAAGATGGGGCTCGTTCCTATCGCAGGCTGTCGCTGGAGTCGAGGCCAAACTAGACACCATTCTCGCCGACGACTATGATGATGCTGCCCAGCAGAGCAAGGAGTCCAAACCAGCGGCAACTCCTCCGCCAGCAGCATCCCCGGCGAAGGCCAGCCCAAGTATGATGTTTTCAACCCAGACTTGTCCCCTTTACCGAAAATGTATAGCTAACACTTGCGACTTACAGCGCCTTCAAGGACAGCCTCAACACGTACCAATGATCGCCTCCAAGAGCGGTTGGCCAGGGCCATGGCCGCTAAGGCTGCCGGCAAGAACATCGATCGAACGTCATCCTCTACACAAGCGAGCCCACGCCAGAGTTTGGATGCGCCAAGCCGAGCCTCGACCGACAGCGTGGATAGGCCGAATATCACAGCCAAGGACAGCCCAAAGGCCGTCGCATCGCCGCGCGCATCCTTAGACACACCCAGGAAATCGCAAGATACAACACAAGAGCCACCAGTGGAATCAGGGGGCTCGGTGGACAGAACCAAAGAGGTGGAATCACAGCCAGTTTCTAAAACAACCGACAGTGCGAGGGCCTCGACGGATCAGCCACATCTAGAAAACATCACTGATGTTGAAACACCGAAGACCGAAGCCAAGTTGGAGGCGCCTGCCGAGATAGTCGCCGAGACCGAACCCAAACAGAGCGTCGAGGTCACTGAGAAGGAACAACCCAATGGTCAGGAAACGAAATCGGACGATGCGCGACCGCAAAACCAAGACGAGATCCACGCCTATATAGAGCGAATCGATGCTTTGGAGGCTAAGCTACAGTATCTTGCAAGGGAGGCATCTGCAGCGGCGCGCAAGGAGGCTTTGTCTGCGCCCGCCGGAAGTGCCGAAAAGAAGCTCGCGGAGAAAGATCAACAAATAGCCCAGCTGATGGAAGAAGGGAAGAACCTCGCCAGTAACGAACAGAAACTGCGGACAATCTTGAAGAACTTGCGAAAGAAACAAGCCGACGATGAAAAGGAGATTGGCAACCTCAGGGCGGCCAAAGAAAAGGCCGACAGGGAAATAGAGAACTTGCGCAAGCGTGCTCGACACTCAGACGAACTCGAAAAGAGCCAAAATGAGCTCCAGAGACGGTTGGACCAGTCACAACGGGAGCTCAACAACTTGCGAACGGAAGTCAAGTCCAAGGATGCTATCATTGCTGAACTACGATCACAGCTTCAAAAGGCTACTGAACAGGCGGATGCCATGTCGGCCAAGGTCAACGACAAGGCCAGGGAACAGGATCAGCGGCGGATAGCAGAATTGGAGGAATCCGTGGAAGCTCTCAAGATCGAGAAGAACTTGGCGACCGACCGTGCCAAGGCGCAAGCCGATGAACTCCGAAAAGAAGCCGAAAGAGCCAGCGAAAAGGCGAAGGCTCTCGAGTTGGAGCTGAAGGCCGAAGTCCAGGTGATGGAAAGTAAGCTGGAAGCCATGCGGACCCGTGCTGAAGAGGCGTCCTCGGGCGTAACGGGAGACTCCCAAGCCAAGTTGCTTAGACAGGTGGAAACCCTGCAAAGTCAATACTCGATTGCAAGCGAGAATTGGCAAGGGATCGAAACCACCCTTCGTTCTAGAATTGTTAACCTTGAGAAGGAGCGAGATGAAGCATTGCAACGGGAGTCGGATATGCGCAGAAAGGCTCGTGAAGCTGTGAGTACTTTCCGATGTCATAGCCTTTGCAAATCAGAATACTGACAATCTCTAGGCCCTCCGCGCGAGACGCAATGAGGAAGAGCTGGAGGAAGCCAAGACCAAGGTGACCAGCCAGAAAGATGTCGAATCCTACCGGTCACAACTCGACTCTCTCAAGAAGCGCGTAGAGGAAACTGAAGTAGCCCTGAAACAGGCGCGAGCCGATTTCGAGAAGCAGAAGCAGGCATGGGAAGCTGAAAAGGAAGTGATCAAAGAGGAAAGGGAAAGGGAAAGGGATCTCCAAACACAAGGAAACCGCCCACGATCCTGGTTGGAGGGTCTCCCTGGCGGCCCATTCCTGAAGAACGAGGGCAGCAGGCCTGGATCACCTCAACTGTCAACAGCGCAAAGGACCTACAGCACTGACTACCTAGGCATCCAAGGCCTCTCAAACAAGGTCCGCAAGGCGTCAGCCCCATCAAGCAACGGCGATGCCGCGGTGGGAGCTATTGCCAGCCGCCGTCCCTCCGGCCAGCCCGGTCTCATCCGCACATCAGTCGCCTCAGGCAGCACCCAACCAGGAAGCAACTCCCTCTTCAGTCCCACCACGGAGTCCATGCCTCCAGTCACTCCCCTATCTGCGATCCACCCGCCATCAGACGCAGGTGCCGCACCAGAAATTCAGCACCCGCCGCGCGAGCTCCACCGCTCCGACACGGGCTTCGACAGCATCGACTCCTCCTCCTCTCCACACAACGTCATGCAAGACATGGTCTCCGTGTCCACCATTGCCGCGGGCCCCTCGGTCCAGCTCGTCGAGCGCATGAGCGCCAAGATCCGCCAGCTTGAGAGCGAGAAGGTGACGGTGCGCGAGGAGTTGGCGCGCATCTCCAAGCAGCGGGATGAGGCACGGGCGGAGATCGTGGCGCTGATGGGCGAGGTGGAGAACCAGAAGAAGGCCTGTGAGCGGGTTGCTGAGCTGGAAAGACAAGTAGCGGAGGTGAATGAAAGATATGAGACCACGTTGGAGTTGTTGGGCGAGAAGAGCGAGGAGGTGGATGAGTTGAAGGCGGATGTGGCAGACTTGAAGGACATGTATAGGGATTTGGTGGAGAGGACTATGAAATAAGTGTTGTAGAGGAGAGGATGGGGTGGGTAATTCTTGCATATACAGTAGACTACTTAAAACAGTCGGTAATGAAGTATCAGTTGATGTGTGGGTAAGACCGTAAGTGACTGGGAGGTAGGGAGCTCATGGACAGGTGAGTGAGGGTGCCTTTTACTAATATTCTGGATATTGGTGTCCACCGATCGTGTAGTGGTTTTTCTTACGGTATCATTGATTTTGTTTGATACCATTCCCTCAGGCTCCCCTTTCCTTCGTCGAGGCACCCAATCTCAAAAATCAACGCTCACATTCCTCATCATGTCATTCATTCCCACGCTCACCTTCAAAGCTCAATCCCCTCCCTCTCCGCCTCCCGCTCAATAAACCTCCTCACATCCTTATCCGGCGCCAAATCCAACGCCAAACACCCATCCACATCCTTCTTATCCGTCTCCGCACCGGCCTTGAGCAACGCAACCGCCGCATCTCCATGCCCCTCCGCCACCGCATGATGCAGCGGCGTGTACCCCGCGCTATCCGTCGCGTTCAACGGGCTCTTATGCTCCAGCAGCAAATTGATCATAGGCACAGACCCGATAGCCGCGGCGCGGTGCAGGGGGTACTGCCCCCGCTTGTCCTTGACCCGTACCGAGGCGGGCTTGGCCGGTTTGATGAGGTCCGGGGACAAAAGCTTGCGCGCGAGATCGATGTTGTTTTTGGAGGCGATGAAGTGCAAAGCTGTCTGGTTCTGGTTGTTAGTCTGGTTGATGTCGGCGCCGCGTGACAAAAGAAGGTCGATTATCGCGTCGCTTTCTTTGACCGAGGCGGCGATCATGAAGGGCGTCCAGCCCATTTCGTCCTGCATTGATATTGTCAGTTTTGTGGTCTGGGCTCGGAGGTTGCTAGTGGGTTGAATGGGGGATGCCAACCTCGACATCAGGATCGAAACCCTTTTGGTTCACGAGGAGCTCAACGACTTCCTTGCGATTGTAGGAACAGGCCCAGTGGATGGGGAGACGGCCATCGTCGTCTTTGCGGAGGGCGAGCTTAGGGTTCGCCTGGTTAAGTGTTAGTTAGGTGACTATCTATTACATCTCTTTTTTGATTAATGTTAACTAACATTGAGGAGAGATTCGATGACGGATACTGGGAATGTGAAACGTGTCAGTGATCATCAAGTTCGTGGGTATCTCAATGAGTGTCCTCAGCTGAGGTGCTCAGCTTGATGTGTTCTGGAGCTTTCCATGCTCACCTTTACCGTCACGGGCGGCAGCGTGAATCGCAAACTTGTCTTCTGCCATTGTGAATCTTTGGTGGATGAATGGTTGAGTATCTGCCGGAAGGAGATCAGATAATAGATCAAGTCAGATGTATAAGAATTACTTGCTAGGCATGGTGATGTTGTTGCAAGAGTTGAACGTCATGTAAGTGATGCCTTCCCCGGGAGCTTCGATGAGGTGAGTGTCCGAAAGAGGCACACCGTGTGAGCTTCACTGTCTCTGCCAAGACGCTAAAACCGCTTAAATGTGGCCCAAGCTCCCTGAAACCCAGGACGTCAGCAAAAATTCCCAGCCGCGTCCAGGCCGCGCCGGTGGCACTCGTGGCACTGTACCACTTTCATCACTGCATCTTCAACTTTGACATCAAGTCAACAACTGCGATTCCCAACTCCATCAGACGACCAACGACCGAATTTTCATCCTCCAATCCGACCGATTTGCGACAGTATAAACACATCAAACCGAACGACGAATCAATTCCATCTCGAACTCCTTCATCATGGCGGCCGAGGTTGCCAACAGCGCCGCCAAGGGCCCTGGCACTGACGCCAACCCGCTCGAGATCATGATCCGCGAGAACGCCAGGAAAACGAAACTCATCTACGCCGCCACAACCACAACCACAGACGCCTCTGGCAGCACCTCCGGGAGGAAGCGGCTAAAACTCGACCCCGGGCTTGCGTCAGAAGATCCCGACATCACCAAGACCGGCCTCTCTCTCCGTCTCCACGCCGAGTACAGCGATGTCCAGACCCTTCCCGAAGCCATTGCCTCCAAGTTGCCCGCCGGCAAACCACGCAAAACAAAGGCCAAGCCAGCCATCGAAGAGGCTCCCTCGAAATCCGAAGAACACGCCCGCAAACTCATCGAGGGCATCCCGCTGAGCAAGTCCACCGCCGGCGGCGCCAACTCGAATGCCCTGGTCCTCTCGCGCAGCAAGCCCGGCGCTGGCAGCGCGTCATCAACCAGACCGAATGCGCAACGAAACGAGCCACAAGGAAACAGCCTGGCGCGGCGATCCGACGTGTTGGCACAGCCCAGGCCAGATTGGCACCCGCCTTGGAAGCTCCTCAAGGTTCTTTCGGGCCATCTGGGTTGGGTGCGTGCCTTGGCGGTAGAACCGGACAACAAGTGGTTTGCGTCGGGCGCGGGCGATCGCACCATCAAGATCTGGGACTTGGCGTCGGGAGCCTTGAAGTTGACTCTCACTGGACATATCTCGACGGTGCGCGGGTTGGCTGTGTCGCCGAGACATCCATACTTGTTCTCGTGCGGTGAGGATAAGATGGTCAAGTGCTGGGATTTGGAAACGAACAAGGTTATCCGACATTATCACGGCCATCTGAGCGGTGTCTATACCCTTGCGCTGCATCCTACACTAGATGTTCTGGTAACAGGCGGTCGCGATGGTGTGGCTCGTGTGTGGGATATGCGGACGAGGAGCAACATCCACGTTCTCTCTGGACACACGGGCACGGTAGCGGATCTTGTCTGTCAGGAGGCCGATCCTCAGGTTATCACAGCCAGCTTGGACTCGACCGTCCGCATGTGGGATTTGGCAGCCGGCAAGACGATGGGCGTCTTGACGCATCACAAGAAGGGTGTGCGAGCGTTGACGACGCATCCAGCCGAGTTCACGTTTGCGACGGGCAGCACGGGCAGCATCAAGCAGTGGAAGTGTCCCGAGGGCGCATTTATGCAGAACTTTGAGGGACACAACGCCATCATCAACACGCTATCTGTGAACGATCAGAATGTCATGTTTTCTGGTGGCGACAATGGTTCGATGAGCTTCTGGGATTGGAAGTCTGGCCATCGCTTCCAGGCTCTGGATACGACTGCTCAGCCTGGTTCGCTGGATGCTGAGTCTGGCATTATGAGCTCGACCTTTGATAAGTCTGGAGCCCGCTTGATTTGCGGTGAAGCGGACAAGACCAGTGAGTTGCCCTGTCATCATACTTCAGCCTTTTTATCATGTCACTAACGGAATCTCTAGTCAAAATCTGGGGTGAAGACCTTAGCGCGACACCAGAGTCGCATCCCCTCGAGTGGAAGCCGAGCTTTGCGAAGCGGAAATTTTAAGTATCCGTGAACGGCGATTAGAGGAAGGTTGCGTTATGTTATAAAATTGCACCGTGGAGCTGAGCAGGCCAGGCCACAGGGGTATAAATGGATAGACCACTACAACCTGGGATAACGAGTTAATCAACGAACACATTTTGACGTTACGCCGAGTGAAATAAGAACCAACTTGCCATGTGCATATTCTAAATCTAGGGTATCATTAACTACTGTCATTCAGAGAAGCACACCCAGTGCTTTGATTTCAGGGTCATCACGGAAAGCCAACCTGACCTCCTCATCCCCAACAGCCAGCCTGATCTTGCTCGGCCGCTCGGCCTTGTGAGCCTCCAAGTTGATAACACCCGCTCCCGTCAGGTCGACGGCGGCGATGGTCAGCCCGGCCGGTCGCATCTGCCTGGAGTCAGGTTTTGATCTCGCGCCGCCCATGATGCCATCCCCATAATCTGCCGCGCTTACCCCAACCGTGGTCATCAAAGCATTCAGCGGCCGACTATCGCCTCCGGTCGCCAGCTTGATCATCCGCTGCATCTCCTCCAGCACATCTCCAAACGTGCTCTCCGCCAACCCCGTCCGCTGGGTACGCAGCAGCAACGCCGTAAGCAACAACCTCGACGCAAAGGGGAGACCCCTCAGGTACTGCTGCAGCGGATTACTCGTAGCCTCATTGATCGCCCTCCTTACCGTCTCAATCGTGACTCTCCCCGCCGACGAGCCCTTCTTCTTCTTCTTCGGACTGCTATCCTCCGCCGCTCCCTTCTTACTTGGTGTTGGCGGCTCAGCTTCAGCAACCTCCTTCGCATCCGCCTCCGCCAACTCCACCGCCCGTCGACAAATATCCAGCGCCCTTCTCGCGTCACCGCTCACCGCCGCCACTTTTCTTGCCGCAAACTGTACCGCGTCCGCGTCCACAATATCCCCCGGCACGCCCTCCAGCCGGCTCTGCACGATCCGCATCAGCTGCTCGTGGTTATACCCCGGGAACGTGATCCTCGTCAGGCCCAACCGACTGCTGATCTTATTGGAAAGCGTGCGCTCAGGCAAATCCATCGTGTTGGCCACAGCTAGCACAATCAGCCGACTGTGTCTTAGCCCGGGCCAGTTGAAGAAGTTGTACATGACACCTTGGTTTTTCGTGACAAGCTGGTCCAGCTCGTCCATCAGCACTACGCAGGGCACGCGGCGCGGGGACGGGTGGCTGAATTCGCGCTCTAAAAGGTCTAAGGCCTGGGAAGGGCTGACGCGTTGGCCTTTGAGGGCTTCCCATAACAGGGAGTAGGATTGGTGCGGGTCCGTGATCTTCATCCCGTTGATTTCGACAAAGATGAAGTCATCTAGCTCGTCGGCGCGCACGGCCGCGTCCAGGTGCGAGACGACTTCGCGAACAGTGGCGGTTTTGCCGGTGCCGGGGGTGCCGGAGATGTAGATGCAGGTGCCGCTGCCGTCGGTGATGGCCGCTTCGAGGTGCGAGTATACGAGACTGAACTCGGCTTCGCGGCAGGGGAGGGAGGTCGGGACCGAGGCGACGTGCAGTTGGGTGCGAGCGAGCTGGTAGGGCGAGTTTTGGATGTGCATGGGGGAGAGAACGCGGGTGGCCAGTGGCGTGAATTCGAGGTGCTTCTTGATCATGATCTTGCGGTGGGAGGTGGGTGTTACGGCGGCGCCTCCAGCAAGGGCGGCTTTGGTGCCTTTGCGTCGGCTGGTTGGGGTGGCGGCGTTGCTGCGAACTTTCAGCTTCCGGGGCGTGCGAGGGACTTTGGCGGCGGGTTCGGCGTCGGCATCGTCGTTGTCGGAGCCGTATTCTCGTTCGGGGGATTCAGCTTTGGGTTGGCGTTTTCGCCGGGTGGCTTTGGTGCGCTTTTGGACGAAGTCGAGAAGAGCATTGAGGTCCTCCTTGCCCTTGTAGATGTCTTCCCATTTGAACTCGTCGGTGTAAGTACACGTTCGCGTGTTGCAACCTCGGCGGCAGGTGAAGACTTTCCCGAACTCTTTGGATTTTCGTGGGACTTTTCCGGTTGGGTACTGTTTCATAAAGGCCTCTTGGGACAGGACAGTGGCCTTGCCGTTGATAGTGGTGAGGGCGTTGAAGTCGAAACTCGCTGTTATATAAAGCTCGTTCTGCACTTCAAAGTTAGCAACTTGACTCAAGGACCCTTCGAATGAATGGAGAGTTATCGGGGCGTACCTCAACAAAGTCCGTCCTCTTCTTCGGGCCATTGCGAATCTCCTTCTCTGACGAAAACCACATAAATTTCGCCGACTTCTCGCCATCATCTTCCAAGAACTCCGAGGCAATCCCAACCCAGGCTTCATTAGAACCTTCGGCCTTGAGAAGCAACGTATCCCCCACATAACAGTCGAAGTCCCCCATCTGCGCGCCGATAATCTTGCGTTCTGGCAATGCTGTTCGTTTCCGTTTCCTCGATCCAGGTCTGCTTGCTGGTATGACCTCGGCCTCCCCTTCTTCCTCTTCCCGATCGTAAATCCATTCCCATGGCAAATCGTCTGTCCCTAGTTCGTCATCCGAATCTTCTCTGGTTACGCCCGGCAGACCGAACTCTTGCGCCCGGGACGAGCGCCGTCCGGGAGTGGCAGGCATGGTAGCAAGTTGTCGAGGAGGTAGCCGTAGAACTTGTATATCGGTATGGTCAGTCGGAGGTCAGAGAAGCGAGTTGATGAGTTTGGTGGTCCCTGTACTCTATGTTGTACTTTTCGAGATAGAGTGCAAAGTTGAAGATGGAAGAGGAAGGAAGTCAGGCATGCAAGACGCGTCTGGGAAGCTTTAGCGCGTCCAATGCACTTAACATCCCTGCGGGATCCGCTAACTCCCGCTTGAGCCCCCCACAGTTGCGTTGACGGCGCCAAGAACGAGCCCCTGAAAGCGGCTGCCTTTTAGGGCCACCAATCAGATCAGATTCTCCGGTCAACAACGACGACGTCTTGTCTTCACTCAAAAGCCAACTCGATCCATATTCGCCTGAATTTCTCGCAAACCTCATCATATACATACCTGTTATCGTTAATGCTCGTTGGTTATCTTCGACGCGACATGACGGGTACTCGTACGCCATATTCTTTCGCGGTTCCAACTTCCAAATCCGAAGATCAGATGCAAACAACATCACAAGAACGACAGGACGGCAGCCACCCTTAGGACGGATGACGTTGTCGATTACAGCCAGACATTTCGGATGCAGTGGAGTTTGGGAGAGTTGAATGCGTACCCCATCTGGAGGCGACAACTCCAAGCGGCTCTGGATTTCTGCCTGCTTCCATTTCAAACGCCAGTTCTTCTCTCGTTGGACAAGGTCAAGGAATCACTTTCCGTTTTCGGTCTGATGTTGGCTCTTGCAAGAAGTCTGAACCTTGAGCCGTTGAGATACGATGAGGGCGTTCACTTTCATATGTTCCATTCCATGACGTTGGAGACAGTTCTCTCTAATTCCTAACTCCTGTTTCCATTCTTCGCCGATTGTTCTGTTCTTCTATCTTATATAGGAAACTGGCGATTCTCGTTAATGCTCCAGCATTTTCTGCCATTTTCCCGATCCTTCAGTCATATTACTTTTCTTCTGTCTGCTCCTCAGGTCATTGGAGTGGAAGGCCTTGTCCGAATTCTTTGTGACCTAACAATGGTTTTATATCAGAGTGACTGAGCTTCACCTCGATCAGGCCGTGTTCGTTCCGGCATTAGTGCAGTAAGAGAAGCTCTTTTATCCCTAACCTAAGGCGAGGCGTTTCGGCCACCAAAAAAAGGCATCTGTCACTGTGCTACTGCCTTAATATACACGCCCTTAACGGTTCATCTGAGAGCTGTACCAGGAGCGCAGACAGTTGTTAAAAGGATCCCTCGAGAGTTATCACGAAGCCTCCCGGACCATCAAACATGGATATATCATTCTCAGATCATGATTCGCACATCTGCAAAGGAACTTTGAACGTGGTCGTGCCACGACATCTGCTGGATGTATTGTTTGTCTGTGGCACCCTTGTGTGCTTGAGACTGAAGTCTTGGGCAAATGATTTTCAAAATACTGTTATCATATCGTATGTCCAAGTCCAGACATGCGAGCATATGTTAAGCTATATCTGTTGACTGTGCCTTCCAATAGTTCTACTTCAAATGGTCGGGACAACTGACCTCAGACCTCCTTGATGTCTTCTTCGTTAGAGAAATCAGTCGCAACCATCCGCTTCTCTCTTCCAGTATTTATGCTAACTACAGTGCAGAGAAACAATACCGGAAAGAGGAGACTCAGGCTCTTACTGGAGGCTCTCAAGGCAAGAAGACACTGCAATTCATGGGTTTACTTCATCCTGTCCCTTAGGTCTTTCAACCCACAAGTTGTTTGGTTTGTCTTCCGCTCAGCAAACCGAGGCCGAGGGAAAGAGATAAAAGCTCCCGTTAAACCGAGAGCTTAAATATTTTGACTTTCATCCTCCTCCTTTCCCTTCCTCTGCAAAGGCTACACAAAGGCGGACATTCCCTAGTCTCTGCCTGCTTCAAAGCAATTATTTCCATCTCAACTTGCCAGCAGCAGTGGTGGATCCTGTGATCGAGGATAAATCATCTTCTATATATGGATAGCTCCTTCACACCCCAGCTACAAAGCTTGCAACTCCATGCCCAACTTCAACCTGGAAATCACAACAGTTCCAGCCAAAGCTTCTACTTGTTGCTATAATTCCCACGCTCCTGTCACATCCGTCAGGCTCAGGAAGAGACTGTATCGCGGTTTCCAGACTTATCACCGCAGTTGCCACCTACAGTACAGATTACCTACCTATCTACATCACACCAAAGGTGCCTGTATTACCGGTACGTACGCCATTTATGGAGTGAGAGCAAACCCACCGCCGACTCTCGCCTCGTTGTTCCTGCTAGTTCAAATGGCCTTACGGGTACGCAGAAGCTGCCCTGCTCTTTCCCTTTCAAAAAACTCTACCCCAGGTGACGCAATTCACTACTTCTCCTGTTCGATCGCCCTTTCCGGTTCCAAGGATAATGACGAGTCCTGCTCGGCCTGCTACCGGGCAAGTATCCTTGTCTGGAGTGCCGTGGTTATGCTCTTTTCTCCCGGCCATCACTTGATTCAAGAGATCTAACAAGTAGCGTTTGTCCAGACTGGTTACATCAAGTTTGCTCTTGCGATCGAGTATCTTGACATTTGCTGTTAAGTTTCACTCAGACTGCGACTCGTCGAGCCAAGAACGAATATCTACCACGATTTACGGACAACGGCATCAGGTTGCTAGACGCTGCGCATTCGGCCAGAAACACCACAGCATCAAAACTCAATTCCAGAAAGACAAGAGCTTAGGTTGTATCCGGTTGTGAATCTCTCGTAGGGTAAGAGCTACCCATGTTCCCGCAGTCACATGTGGATCTTCCTATGTCCCACTTCGGGTACCTTAGACAGTCGTCACTTGCTCCTTCCCTAATTTGCCCATGCCCTCCCCTCGAAGTGACCGTCAAAGCAGCCAGCGTCCAGTGAGGCAGTTGCAGTTGCCTCCAGCTATCAGGTTTTCAGTTCGGGGCCGAGTAGCGCATCGAGCATTGTGTGCTTGGTCGGACACAAGATCAAATTTGCGCCTTGTTGCGTTCTTAAAGACCCCCTCATCTTCCTTTTCCCCCGCCATCTTCCTCCTTCTCTTCTTCTGTTCATCATAATCTTTGGTGTCTCCACCACCACCACCACCACCATCACCACAACCACTGCCACTGACACTGGTCTTTGACATCGTCGTCATCTTCGTCGTCGTCATCTTCGTCGTCGTCGTCCAGCCTCTTCACACGTTGCTGTTCTTACTTTCCCCCTCTTCTTCCACGTCCTCTTAACACTCCACTTGTCGGCCCGCACACTACTTTACGCGTTCGACGACCCTTGTCGCGCTTGTTGTTTCAACTCGACCTCACCACCCTCCCCAGGCGTACCGAGCTAACAAACAAACCAGTATTGGACTTTCTGACTCTGCTGTCTCACCTCCAGTCTCGCTGTTACGTCACCAAACGACAGATTTCCTGAGCAGATCCAAAAGACACAACACTCAAGCCGAAGCCATCATGTCGCAGAATACTGGACTACTACAGGTCTTCTCTCGCTCGGGGACTTCATCGTCCTCCCAGCGTAGCGGTCAAGGGCCAGAATCTTTTGGCATTCAGGTGAGTACCTCTCAGCTCTCCTTTGCCTCCATGCCGCATATGCTAATACCACCCTCCGCAGATGGAGTTGCTTGTCCCAACCCGTGGTTTTCGCATTGTGGACGACCAGGACCGAGAGCTCAAGACAATCGTGGAGCAGATTGAATATCAACACGGTGTCAGGATTCGCCTCAGCGGACAGGAAGATCCCATCCTGATCTCCGCTGCTTCTCCCAAGGAGGCTAGGGAGGCCATGAGCTCCATCTTGAAGAGCTTGGTACTCCGTGAGGGTCATGCGACAGTCTGGCAAGATTCAATCCTCATCGCTCCACCCAGAGGCGACCGGCGCGCCGTACGGATTCTTCTCCAGGAGGGCCCTGGAACCACATGGTTCAGACCAGCCGCGGCGCCCACTGGCTCTGGCGAAGTGGCTGATGCTTTGGCAGTCAAAGCTTACAAGCGCAACCTCACTGCTGCAATGGTCCGCGTGGGTGACGGCCTGAGGTATTCTCCCAACAGAATGCGTATGCGCATCGGCTTCGGCAAACTCTTCTTCAAAGAACGCAAGAAGGGTACTACGAGCTATACGCTCGATGAGTTCTCGAAACTGGCTCGCAGGGTGAACAACAGAGGAACGTCCTACATGGAGATGAGGTACGTACATACCATAACTTCTTCTCCTTCTGTTCTCCCCTTCTGTCTTTTTTCTGTCTTGCTTGCCTTCCTTGGGATTATTCCTAACAATGCTCAGACTGGGTGGTGAATCAATGCGCGAGCAGATCCAACAAGCTTTCTCCCTCGATGCTGATTTTGGAGACCCCCAAGGCAAAGAGGACTCTGTAATTGTAACAGTAAAGAATGTCAACCTCGAAGTGAGCGTCGATGGGACCCAAGATGGTCGTTTAACTTTGGGCGCATTGAACGTTTTCCATCGAGAAAAGAGCCACCGAAGCGTCGATCTCGCCACGGCATGTCCAGATAAGTAAGTCGCACATCCTCGTCTCAGTGTCTTCCTCATTTTCTTCTTGATCTCATGGCAATACTAACACCCGACGTCCCAGGAAACATGATTGGGTCTTGAAAGTCGAGTCTCCCATCGATGAGACCGACAGTAAGCTTCCACTCGACCAGCGTACACTCAACAACGGTATCAAGATTCGCCGCAACCCCAACACCAACTGTATCGAGCCCCACATTGCAGCGTCCTTTGCCCAGACAAACCATATCGAGGCTCTCATTGGTAAAACGACCTGGTCCTATTTTCTCAACAAGGAATACATCGTAGAGATTTCGCTTTACCAACAGTGGAGCACTTTGTCGGCAGGCGCCAAAAGTCAGCAGCCGGTCGCTGGTGTGAGCGTCGCGATGTATCGACCCGAGTGGAGTGATAGTATGGCCAAGGCTGACGTCTCGGCCGGACCACGGCCCTGGGAGACGTTTCCCAAGCAGTTTTTCGATTCTTCAAGGTCGTCCACTGATCCCACTACAGGTCTTGACCCGGTTGCTGCCTTGTTGCACTGGGTTGGGAAGGTTCAGACGTTGTTGGATACGATTGTGTAGATAACCCTGGGTTGACTGCATTTGCATGGGTGGAAATTAGCGATGTGAAATACCAAAAGCTGGAATGGTGGTCATAGCGAATGTTTGGCTGCTAAGCTCACGGCCATGGAGGGTTTCTTCAAATATATTGGTGCGATGGTATGGTAATCGTTAACGGGGTCAACGCGTGTGCAAGTAGATAAGGGCTGTCATCAAGGGCCATACAGTAGCTTTAGTTGGTTTCATTTTTTTTTCTTGACTCGCTCAATCACACAATGACAAGTCAAATTCTCCTTTATGCCTGTGCGGATGCAGGTCCAGCTCCTTGTGCCATCTTCTGCCTCAAGACTGAAAGGTGATTCTTGTTAGTAATACTGCCAGGATCGCAACAAATGGAAGAGAGGAGAATGCCGTACCTTCTTCCACTACGCGGAGGTTGTTAGTCTTCCCCTGGACAATAGATTCCAGGTTCTGAATGTTGGCGCCAAGTTCCTTGACCTTGGCATCGTAGAACTCAGTGGCACTTTTGGTGTCCTGGACGCTTCCAGTCAGTGCCATGTAGGGTCATGATGGCGGGGAGACGTACCTTTTCAACGTAGAACCCAGTACCGACATCAACAATTACGCGGTCGGGGTTGGAAAGCTTGCCCTTGACATAGAGGGAGTTGGTAAGGGGGACGAGGATGTCTTTCTTGTCTGTTGAGAGGGGTCTTGTTAGCGGTGACTATGACTGAAGGGTAGACGTTTGTCTTGGTTTGGGCAGCGATGAAGGGAATGGAATTAGGGGAGGGGTGTGGTGGAATAGGAGAGAGGACGAGGGGCAGTTATAAGGGGGGAGGAACGGGAGTCGTGGGACGTGGGGAGGTGGTGGACGGTGGCAACACCATGAGATGAGTACATGGGAGCAAAGGGCGTGTGGACGTTTGTTGATGATGTAAGTGAGGTGATGAATCAAATCCGAGGAAGGGGTAAGGGGCGAAGAGACGAAGCACGGAGAGGTGAATTGGTTGTCAAGTGGGTGGGAGCTTGACATAACCCATCCCCAGCCCCATCGCCATCGCCATCGCCATCTCCATCCTCTTTGCCCATCTCCCATCCCAAAGCTCTCAATCTCATTCTCACAACTCCATCATGCATCCGACCCTACTCTCATCCACCACCGCCAACACCAAGACGAAAGAAGCAGCTAGGCAAAAAAAAAACAGGGGAGGTAAGAAGAGGAAGTAAACGCACCATCAAAAGAACTGCTCCCTGTCTGCACAATCCGCAAGCACTCCTTGAACTTGGCCTGCGCCGCAGCCAGCTGCGTGTACGAGGCCGTCAGGTGCTCGACCTCCTCATCCAGCTGCTTCTTGACGGCGGTGAGTTGTTGAGCGCTGAGGCTCTCGATGTTGACTGGGACGTCATATTAGTGTTGGTCCATAGAAAGTGAAGATGAGAGGGTGAAGTAGGTAGGAGGAGGGGGTGGACGGAAAGGGGCAGGGGGTAGGGGGTAAAGGTTAGATAGAGCTGCCCGAGCTTGAGCTTGAGCTTGAGCAGCTATGGAGGGGGATGAAGCTTGAATGGAAACGTAGTTGAAAGGGACGGGGAGATATGCTTACCTCCTTCTTGTTTGCCGGACATGATTTTTTTCTTTTGACGTCGAAAACAAGTGGAAATAGTTCGATGTAGGTTGGTTTGGTCAGTGAATGAAGCGTTGTTCTTCAGATGTCAAGTCGTCGTTTGAATGATGGAGGTTCCAGAGTCAATCGGGGGCGGCCACGAGGACCGGTCGGCGCGGCAGCAACGATGGACGGGACGGGATGGAGGTGGTTGCCCCGCTATGAGAGCAGCTCTGTGGGGCAGAATTTTGCGGGCTTCCAGGGGTTCACTTTCTGTTTCGCTGCAGGCGGGGTGGCATGCCCCCCGGGATCCTAGTAAACAGTGACTTCACTTTCTCCTGACAGCCACTTCAGCTTCTTTTCCACGACAACATTCATCGAGGAGCAAAGAGTACAGATTGGGACCTTTTGATCTGAGAGTAAAACACGGCGTCGCGGCTTAATTGATCTACCGAGAAATTTCACGGGAAGCGGCAATTCACCCTTTCGTTCTCTTCGAGACCTCTCGCCAAGTCGCCACTGTCACTGGCCCTTCAACATTTCCGCACAACAGAACCGTCACCCTAGCAACCTCCAACAGAACTCTCTGTTTCACTTCATCAACAACCCCAACTTCAACCATCCGGATCACCACCATCATGGCCTCCGCAAACCCACCTCCGATCCCCAAAACCCGCACCAGCGGCAGTCCCGGCCTCGACCATGGCCGCACCGTCTTCTCCACCGAGCGCTTCGGCGCCGGCGAAACCATCGCCATCCTTGAAAACCCTCTGCTCGCTCTCCCCGACGACGCCAACATGCGTACAACCTGCAACTACTGCCTCTACGTCAGTGGCACGATCGAGTTCGAGGGCGACGTGAAAGCCGGGCCGCGGACGTGCAAGGCGTGCACGGGCTGCAAGGCAGCCGTGTACTGCAACGCCGAGTGCCAGCGGCAGCACTGGAAGCTGGTGCACAAGGCCGAGTGCAAGATGTTCAAGCGGATCCGGGAGCGGACGGGCAAAGATTGGGTGCCGACGCCCGTGAGGGCGGTGGCGCAGGTCATGTTGTTGTTGAAGGCTGGGGATGAGGAGGTTACTAAGGCGTTTGGGCCGGGGGGCACGTTAGAGAGTAATGTGGAGGGGTTCAAGACTGATGAGGAGCTGTGGAAGGATTTTGAGTTGCAGGCGACGGGTGCGGTGGTTTATGCGGGTTTGTTGCAGAGTGATGAGACGTTGAAGCAGGCTATGGAGGTTTTGTGCAAGGTAAGTTTGACTTTGGAGTGTGGGAGTCTGTGTAAACTCAAGGGGTGGTGTAAACTAACTGGTGCGGCGGTTAGATCCAAACGAATGCGTTCAACAGGTTTGATGCCGACACCGGACAGGCTGGTATCTATCTTCACCCTAGTCTTTCTATGGTGAATCACTCTTGCGTGCCAAACGCGTACATCACCTTCGAGAAGCGCAAAGCTTTTCTCAAAGCGGAACGGGATATCGAACCGGGCGACGAGATTCTGATTTCATACATCGGTATGGCAAACCCTAACTTTCGAAATAAACTTTCCACTTCTAACTCTATCAACCAGATCACACAGCCCCTCGCCGCGCAAGGCAAGAGTCACTTCGACTCTACCACTTCCAGTGCAACTGTGTTCGCTGCAAAGACGACTTAAATGTCTACGAAGTGATCCAGGCTTGCGGAGTCTCTCCAGGTGTCAAATGGTTGAATTCCGCCACTTTCCAGCCCGATGTCGCCAGCCTGATTCCTGCTTACATTGAAAGGTCAAAGAAAGTACTAAAATCGAAGATCGAGGAAATACACTGGAAGTGTATGGAGCTGACGGTAATGGGTCAAGGGGATCCCATTGACCTTGCTCGAGCCAAGTGGAAGCTTTGCAAACCTCTTATCGACGCTCAGTTGTGGGCTATCGATCCCCTTCCTGCCACAATTCTCAACCTAGCTACCATGTGGGATCTAACCGCACCACGTTGGCCAAGGCGCTTCCTCTGCACTGCTTCCTTGCCGTGGAATCCTGGCCCTTCAAGTATCCCGAATCATTCGCGCCATTCAGGGTCAAAACGTTGATGACAATTGCAAAGCTCTTGTCCGCGGCTGGAGATCTGACCTATAGCGGCGATCTTGCTCGGTATTGCGACCACGAGGGTGTTATTGGGGTTCTGGCAACGGTCGACATTGTTTCTCTCACCGAGGTGATTCTCCGACTCGTCAGACAGAACGGTGTAATAGGAGGTGTGGCATCGTGGGATGTCATGTTCGGAACCCAAGAAATGTTGCGTGACATCGGAGATCTGCAGGACCGCGACGAAAATGAGGCCGCTATGGTCAAGCATTGGGCAAACGACTTGCAAGATCCTGCGAGCAAGGCTTTCTGGGAAGACGTTGTGCTGAAGCCGATCAAACAGCTCGCGAGTTTCGCGATCGAGATTATCGAGGCTGAGCTGGGAGACAACAAAAGCCTGGCTCGCAAGTGAGTCCGGAATGGAAGCCCGACTAGTTGCTCCTTCCGTGGCCAGGCTCCCCGTTCTTGATTGATGCCTTTGGCAGGCGAAGTCGAGGACCCTGGCGCCTTTCCGCCAGTCTGCTTCCTGGTCCACCGTATTTGGCCGAGCCCAACAGGCTATCAATCAAGGAGGGGCTTTTATGAGCTGAACGACTAAAACGCACTGAAGCAACAGGCAACTTTGCCACGATGTCTGCCTTAGAAAGGCCAGCCTCAGACGATGTCCGTTTCCGAGATGCAGAAGACCTGGAGATGCACTGCGACATATCTCCTGCTTCGGAAGCTTGTGATGCCTTTTGCCTTTCGGCAGTTTGCTGGTCAGTCTCGACCCGTCCCATCCTCCCCTTGAGAATCTCGAACTCCATCTGCAGGGTTTCGACATGGCTAGCACGATTGCCTATCTTGGCGATGCTACTTGTGAGGATATCCAGCTCCCTCGACGGAAAACTCCGTTCTGTATTGTAAGAGCGTGTGTTGTCCAACAGCTGTCTCAAGTCCACAGTTTCCGTACGATGGGTTGCAATCTCGTTCGCATAATCTGTAACAGGGACGCTGTTATTTGCTTTTGGCGTTAAGATATTGATCTGGTTTTGGAGGTCAGAGACCTGGGACCTAAGGTCCGTGAGCTCTTGTTGCACTTGATTTGTGGACTCTGTCGCTTCGTTATGTGTCTGGCTGGGTTCCGAAGAAACAAAATCGAGCCGTCCGTTGAGCAAGGTGATTTGTCGATGTTAAACATTCTTCAGATTGTGGACCTCGATCTTGAAGGATGCCAGATCATCAAAGCCTTTTCTGACCTCCAGGATGCAGTTCTCAACTGTGGTCTCGAGGAGTTTGGTAAGAGATTCTCTGGCGCCATCGACCGCCTTTTCCACAGTGTTGGCAATGCTGGGAGTATTGCTGTCGGTCTGATTAACACGCGGTCATTGGCTGGCAACCTCATTCTCCAGGGGGGGGGGAATGTCGATAAATTTAGGCAATCTCAGCCGAGCAACACCCTGTGCTCCCTGGTTCTCGGTCGACCCGACTTTGCTGGTTATCGCCGGCTTGTTGTAGCTGAGGAAGCGTACGATAGCACACTTTACTCTGTCGCCTGCGTCGTTGGACAGGATGACTGAGGTAGCTCGAAATATAATCGGAGTCCTACAAAACCTTGTTAGCCATCACTCATGGTATCTTTGCCATTAATCATATCCAACTTACTCGTGTAGCACATAATGTACTGGCGTCTTGAAATACTTGACACCAACGGATGCGGAACAACTGACACAAAATACACCTTGCCGTCTACTACAAGACTTGATTGTAAGAACCAATGTCAAATACGAAGAGTTGGGAAGTTAGGGGACTTTACCAATTTTCAGACACTGTTCCACGATGTCCGTCGAATATTTCTCCGTCGCAGACAATTTACAGATTGTCGTCCGATCTGATGATGGGGCTGAATCCCTTCTCATTGACTTGCATCCACAGGTTGATGAACTTGCCTATGGTGTTCCGGCATTTCTTGCAACGGCAGACCACCAGCTCCATGGTGAGATGTAAATATCGAGGCCGATGGAGAGCAGAGTGTTTCGAAGGAATTCACAAGTAGGGGATTAAGAAGGAGAATATAGCGTATGGCGATGCCTTGCGCGTCAGGATCTCAGAATCGCAGGGCGAAGAAGTCGGAGTTAGATCACGCAAACTGTTGGTTGACTCAGAGCCAAAAAGAACTTGAAATCAAGACCACTCGAATGGTGACTGTAATTCTTGAATTAAAATCACACCAGGTTTGTGGGAAATTTCGTGCTCTGCACTCTCAATGTAGGAAGCAGCAAATCGTGTAGGCACATGTATAAGTTACTTGTATTTCGTACCTCGCAGAAACGGTCTTGGCAGGGACCAAAAGTGGCAGACGCCACCCTCTTGGACGACAAGATGTGGCTTTGCTCTAAAAGGCACAGTAAATCCGGCCACAATTAAGTGCTAAAGTGGGGCTCTGCCCGCAACGACGGCCGGTGACTCGCTCCAGGCTCCAGCAGTTTTATGCCTGGGGTTGGCAGGCACGAACAAGGGTCTTCATTTTGGTTTGATCCAACTGCAGCGACTTCAACTTCAGACGTGCACTTCCATAATTTACCCAATTTAAAACTTGGACATTTCCGTCTCACTTTTACTCCCCAATCAACTCTCTTTCACCGTCTTCATCGCCGTTGCACTTCCGTGGATATTTCCAGTCACACTCCCCTCAGAGGAAGCGCATTCATCATGGGCAAGAAAAAGAACAAGAGCAAAGGTCAGCGCGGCGTTGCGGCTGCCTTGGCCACCTTTCAGGGCGACTCTATGGCCATTGATACCGAAAACACCAACATTCAGCTTTCAACTGCTCCGACAGACGGTGAATTGACGCCAACTGCATCATCAGGCAGTCTTAAACGCCCATGCCCCGAAGATGAGAATGAGGACGGCGGAGGTTGGCAGACCATCGAAAACGGCCGGCCAGTAAAGAAGTTGAAGAAGATTCCTGGCCAAGAATCAAAACGCTATCCTGGCATCCATTTCTCGACCCAGGCCAGGCTTTTCTCCAAGATCAACGTTTCTTCTCTGCGCGATCTGATCCTGTACATCTTCGCCGATGGTGCTGCTCCGCAATGGGTGTCCGTTAAGCATCGCCCTGAGTTCAGAAAGATCGTGGCTATCATGGTACCCGGCCTCGATGAGGCCATGTTCAAGAAGGGTCTCGACTTTTCCGCCTACACTGGACCCCCGCCTGGTCAAGCGACCTCTGGGGGCGCGCCTGATCCTGATGAGTACTATCCACGCGAGCTCAAGAAGGAGCTGCTGCCCGAAGTACTGCAGCCCTTCGCCGAAATGTTCCCGCATTTGTGGCCTGTAAAAGCTCCAGGTGACGACAAGTATGGCAAGTTGCATTCGCCGATGCAGGCAATGCTTACGGCTCCCGTCCCGAAGAACAAGGGAGTTGGAGTCCAGCCCGTATCCGAACCCAACGGCTGGAAGAGCCAACGAACACGCATCACCGAGTTCTTGGCCAGCAACGAGGAGCTGATGGAGAACGGCTTCCCCGTCCACCCAGCTATGCTTAAGCCAGGGGAGAAGAGAGATAATTTCAAGGACCGCGAAGGCTGGGTACACACCAGAGTTGAGAACCTTGAGGATGGAAAGGTTCCCGAGGGAGACGTGCAGCAGGGCAGTGTTACCGCAGGCCGGGAAGTCTACGCCCTCGATTGCGAGATGTGTGTGACCGGAGAGGCCGAGTATTCACTTACCAGAATCAGCTTGGTTGCTTGGGACGGCAGCGTTGTTCTCGACGAACTCGTCAAGCCGGACAAGCCTATCATTGACTATGTGACACGGTTCTCAGGTATCACCAAAGAGATGATCGACCCCGTTAACACGACATTGAAGGATATCCAGGCCCGCTTGCTCGACATTCTTGGCCCCAAGTCGATTCTTCTCGGTCACTCGCTTGACTCTGATCTTAAGGCTCTTAAGCTGGCTCACCCCTTTATCGTCGACACCTCGCTTCTCTTCCCCCACCCTCGCGGCTTCCCCCTCAAGCAATCGCTGAAGTACCTCGCACAAAAGTTCCTCAACCGCGAAGTTCAAAAGGCCGGTGAGGCTGGACATGACAGTATCGAAGACGCCAAGACATGTCTCGACCTGGTCAAGAGGAAGTGCGAGAAGGGCAAGGCATGGGGCGCCGGAGAGAGCCAAGGCGAGAACCTCTTCAAGCGCCTCGCTCGCGCTGGCACAGCATACCGCTCTACCGCTGGTCCGGAGGCTACGGGCGGCGCTCCCGTTGGCAAGACCAGCGCGGCTGTTGACTGGGGTGATGTAAGCAGGAGCGCCGGCAACGCCGCCACTGTCAGCATCTCCTGCAAGTCCGATGCGGAGGTTGAAGCCGGTATCATCCGCGCGGTCAAGGGCGATCCCGACGGCCTCGAAGTCCCCGGCGGCGGCGTTGACTTCGTCTGGGCGCGCATGCGTGAGCTCGAGGCTCTACAAGGGTGGTGGAACCGCAACAAGCTCGTGGCCGAGGATGCCGGCGGCCCGCCAGCTGAGAAGAAGGAGGGAGACGAAGAGGATGAGGAAGAGAAGGAAGATACCGTATCACCCCTAGAAACCTGCCTCAAGACGCTCGGCGAGCGTCTGAAGCGCATCTACGACAACCTCCGCCTTGCACGGCCTTCATCGTCTACACCGGCACCGGCGACCCGCGTGAGATGAGCCGGCTGCAGGCCATGCAGGCCCAGTTCAAGAAGGAGTACAACACGCCTGGCTCTAAGTGGGACCAGCTTAGTGTGCAATGGACGGACAGAGAGGATCAGGCGCTGCGTCAGGCCCTGAAGGTGGCGAGGAGCGGCATTGGCTTTATTGGAGTCAAATAGGCTCTGTGCCCTGGGCCTCCTCCTCCGGGTGGACGCTGGAGGGAGCGGAACGTATACCCGTGGGTTGTGGATTTGGGGCTGTTGGTGCGGTGAAAAACGGTTATGGATGGCAGCGAATACATATACATTAGGTGGCATCAAAGCGGCATAGGTATCTCGACATTGCTTGGTGTGATAGCAATGGCTCTATCATATCCCAAAAGACATACATTGGACGGTGCGGATTCTACGAACATCATCTCGCTATGGTTACAGGCTCGGGCATAGCGATAGAAATATCAGCGTCTTCAAGTTTTGGCATCCATCATACCTGATCTGATTCAAAGTCTAGCAGGACGCATGCTTTTGACCAATGCAGCCATTCATTTGTATTGTGATGATTACTTACCGTCCATGATAATCACAGGGTAAAAAGGACTCCAGAACCATGGGTAGCATAACGACCAACGTAAGGCAACGTAAAGGCAAGTTATAGCAATGCATATACTTCGTGAAACCCTATGTACTGACGGTATTTATGTTGTTTGTGAACGACATGAAATGCGCTTTTTCGCCGCTCACTTTCTTCCTTTTCTCTCCGATATCAAGACTGCAAGACTAAGACAACAAAACACCCAGCAAATGCAAAACTAACCCAAAAAGACAACCAAGCATCCATCTTCGAATTTTCCGTCTCCCGGCCTCCTCAAGTCATTAACAACCCATCAACAACTCATCCGTGTAGCTATGTTTCGCTCCGTTAAGTAGACTACTTGATACACTTATTCTAGTAAATGTCCTGGCGATCGACAAAACTCCTCCCCATTCGTCAGGCCGTGAAATTCAGCCCATGCCTGACGAACTTGATCATCATCCGCACAGCATAGTGTTTTTCCACTCGACACAGTACTCGACGACGACGCACTGCTACTCGACACATACCCCTCATCAATGTCCTTGTCGTCGTTGTCGTCGTCCTTCTCCCACCACCGCGTCTCCTGTCCCTGGTGTTCCTGAGACAGCTCGTCTACAACGGCATCACCGCTATCATCATAATAAACATCCTGTTGTCCCCCATAATGATACCAATTCAGCGACGGCTGCAGCTCTTGTGCTTCTTCTTGTTCTTCTTCTAGTTTCAGTTCTCTGTTTCTCTAAAAGTCAAACTCACCACGGAAGATCTCCGGATCCACACCCGTGGTAACCTTCTCCGCCAGATCCCTGCGTCCCATCTGGGTGAACACGCGACGGAGGGTATCGTAGAGGGTGGTGCTCCTGTTCTGCGTCATCATGTTGTCGATGCGGGAGTCGCTATCGCCCGCGTTACCGCCCAACAGCTCACGCGCCTTCTCACGCCCGCTCTTCTCGACGGACTTGTGCATGTCCAGCGCGGCGAGCAAGTGGCCGGCGGCTTCGGCGTGGCAGCCAATGTTGATACACGAGACGCCGAGGTTGTAGCGGGCGCGGACAAAGTTGGGGTGGATGGCGAGGGCCTTTTCGTAGGCGGCGATGGCCTCCTCGGAGCGGCCGCTGTTGGCCAGGGTGGCGCCGAGACGGTTCCAGAGCAGGTGGATCTGCTCGCGCTGGTTGGAGGTGCCGAGCTCGGTGGAGTGCAGGGCGGCCTGGAAGCAGTCGACCGCCTTATCGTAGTCCTCGGCGCCGTAGAACAGGACGCCCAGGCCGACCTGCACGTCGGGGTCCATGTGGTCGCCATCGGGAGCGAGGCGGGCCGCCTCGAGGAAGAGGTTGGTGACGCGCTCGTGAAGTTGGGCGCGGTCGGTGAAGCCCATGTCGGCGGCCGAGGAGAGGTTCTGGGGCGAGATGACGCTGGGGTACCTGGTCGACAGCCAGCGCTCGAGCGTGCGGTAGGCGGTGCTGTCGTAGCCCTCGTTGGTGTAGGAGACGGCCAGGCCCATCATGGCGGAGAGGTTGTTAGGATCGAGCTTCATGGCGCGCTCGAGAGCCCGGATAGCGGCCTCTTCCTTCTCGTTCTGGGCTTGTGCCTGTCCGAGGTAGACCCAGGCCTCGGTATGTCGGGGTTCTCTGGACCGCAGCCTCGAAGGCGAGGGCAGCTAGCGACAGGTTTCCACCCTCCTTCATGATGCGAATACCCTCTTCGAATGGGTTTGGTGTCTCCCGGAAGAAGTTATCTTCCTCGAAGAGGTACTCTTGCACGATAGGATCCGCGCCAAGTCTGCCGTTCAGCGTCCAGTCTTCCTTCTCCAGGTTCTCACTATCGAACTTGGCGAAGTCGTCCTGGACATCGATCTCGTCCAACTCCTTCATAGCGTCTCTTTCGGCCTGGATACCGCGCCAGATCGATTCGAGATCCCCGGCGCCGGTCTCAGAGTGAAGCAGCGCCTCGTCCATCTTGTTGAGCTCGGGCTCCATGGCACGGGCCTCATCACCAGTAATCTCCAACTGAGCAAAGTGCTCCTCCCACTTGTTCTGGTCGAGCTCAACAACCTTGCCCTTGCCCTTGCCCTCAGCCTGTAGTGGCTGCTGGTGCATGTTGTGCATCTGAGGGCCGTGCATGCCGACCATAGGCTGATACATGGGTCGCTGCATCATGTTATAGTTCATATTGCCCATACCCATCATGCCACCGCCCATCATGCGCTGAGCCGGCATCTGGCTGGCGGTGGCCGGCGCCGCCTGGGGGTGCATTTGCTGGAACTTGGAGAACTCATCGGCGCTGAACTGGGTTCCGGGCGGCGCATTGAAGGCAGCTTCCATAGCCGCCTGTGTGTTGTGGAAGTCCTTAGCCCATGCTGGCGAGGCGTTCTGGGCGCGCATGTGGACGCCTTGTGCCGCCGGGTCGAGGTGGAGCATGTGTCCTTGTTCGAGAGGCATATGAGCCATCTCCGGGGTTTGGTTTAGGAATCCGTTCACCATCTGTTTTAGGGGGTCATCATGTTAGCCAAGAGCGCACGTTCCGCCGTCAACAATGTCCATAAGGAAATCTTACCTCATCTTGCCCAGGGCCGCGGTTGGTACTCCGGAAGCCACCAGCCACGGCATTGGGACCTCTGTTGACGAGCCGGTCATGTTGGAGGCTCTTGTCGTCTCCAACGTGCTTGGTGAACTGGCTGAGCGGGTTACCCGCCGTCGAGCACTCGGCTCCTCCCATGAAAGACATTTTGAAGATACTGAATATGGAAGTCGGTTATAATAATGTGACAATGGTGATGTTTCGGCGAGGTTGACAAGCCGAGGACGGGAGACGAAATGCGCGGGCTCTTGACACTTCTTTGTAGGTGAAGTGGAGCGGGATATGCGTTCGACTGTTGGGAAAGCAGCGGCTCGCGCTGTATTGTAGAGGCGGCTAGAAGTGGCGGTAGCTATGAGGTAGTCTTTTGCGCAACGGCAAGAAAGGATGACTCTTGGGTTGAAAGAGGAAGAAAAACGTGGAAGCAACAGAGAACAGACAAGCCAGGCACGTGGGCTTGTGGAGTTAATTAGTGATCAAGCGGCGGTGTCCAGCTGAAGTTGTTCCAAGTGGAAGGAAGGAAAGAAGTTGACCGACTCCGAGGGATGTGGGTGTGGCAGGTGTGCTGTCTTGTAAGTAGCGGATGCACGGTGTCGATGGGTCCATGCCCGTAGTGGATGGCAGCAGCGTAGTTAGAAATCGGGCTCTGCATGCAACCTTGGGCGCCAAAAGCTCAGGGGCACGAGGGGGGCACCACCTGTACGCCACCTGAACTGTTGGAAATGCCGAGGCAGCCAGCCAGCCAGACAACCATTCAGTGCCCACCAACCGCGCTCTTGTGCTCTTTGGGCTTTTGGCAGTTGCCGGTGGCCGGCCACTCGTTGGCCGCGGCTACCGACCCCGCCAATGGAGTCTTGTCAACCACACCTCAGCCGAACCCCAGCCCGGCCCGTGGAGAACACCCCCGCCCCCGGACCCATCTTTGATCCCTTCGTTCCAAACGACAGCCGAGAACTATCGGACGACAGAGAGTGCGGCGGCGGAAGTCATGCTCACATGCCGGCAGCACGGCAATGCACATTCAAGATGAAAAAGTGATGAAGAAAAGGGAACGACGCATTCAAAGCTCTTTTTCACGTCACTCAAATGGCATGCAGAACGCAAAAGAATGCAGAGAAATATTGCACAAAGACCACCCAATCTCTATTCGTACATATGTACAGCCTGATATAACCAACAAAATATGGTAAACGAAAACAACTAGTCGCAGTAAGAAGAAAGAAGAGAAGATTTTGTCGTACTTGTACAGGTATCATTGCAAAAGCAAAAAGGTCAGGATGATGTACGCAGAGTGATCGTACTGCAAAGGCGCCACAACACCAATCCCACAGTTTCCCAATCCCAATGTGCCCCAGTTTTGGCAACATTTGTCAAAGAAACACAACCGGCTTTTTTTTTTTAAAACCGAACTTGCCCAGTTTTGCCCTCCATTACATCCGTTTCCCATCCTCTTCACCCAGTCATGTCGTAAACGATTGCATGCCCTCTAATTGCGGCTTGCTAGTTTAGAACTCAGTGGACTCGCCCTGGTCACGACGGTTGTAGTTGCGGTTGCCGCCCTCGCGGTTGTAGCTGCGCTGACCACCCTCACGGTTGCCGTAGCTGCGGTTGCCACCCTCGCGGTTGAAGCTGCGGTTACCACCGTCACGGTTACCGTAGCTGCGGTTGCCGCCCTCACGGTTGTAGCTGCGGTTACCGCCGTCACGGTTATACTCGCGGCGCTCGCCGTTGTTCTCACGGGGCTGGCGAGGAGTGGAGGGCTGGGCATAGTCGAGCTTGACGGTACGCTCACCGAGCTGGACACCCTGGAGCTTCTCCAAGGCGTTAACGGCAGCCTCGACATCGACGAAGTCGGCATGGGCAAAGCCACGAGGCCAGCCGGTAGCACGGTCAACGGCGACGCGGACGTCCTTGAGACCGTCAATGCCGATAAAGATGTTGTTCAGCTCGGCATCGGTGGTCTCGTAGGGGATGTTGCCGATGAAGAGGCAGGAAGAAGGCTCGCCGTTGGCACCGCCGCGGGGGGGCCCTCTCCTTGCGGGGCTCGACGCTAATGCGGCGACCGTGCCAGAAAGAGCCGTCGACCTGGGAGCAGGCCTCCTCGAGGGCCTCCTTGGTGGCAAAGGTAACGAAACCGTAACTGTAGGACACCATCTGTTAGCAGAATTCAACGTGATATGTAGAAAGGATTCCAAACTTACCCCTTGCTCAAACCGCGGGCATCCTTGGCGAGGAAAACGTCGGTGACATCGCCGAACTTCTCGAAAGCGCCCTTGAGGTGCTCCTCAGTAGCATCGAAGACGATGTTGCGGACGAAAGCGGTGTGGGCGGGACTGGAGTTCTGCTTGACGGCAGCCTCCTCGGTAGCAGCGGGGGCAGTCTCGGTCTCGGTCTGCTCGGTCTGCTCGGTCTGGGTAGTCTCCTCGGTGTTGAGGACACGGGGGGACTGAGAGAAGAAGCGGATAGCCTGGATTCTGCTGGAGACAAGAGCAGTGCGGGCAACGCTGGCGGAGAAGGAGGCAGCAGGAGCCTGGGTGGTGATGGCCCTCGAAGCAGAGAGGGCAGATCTGATAGCGGCGCGACGGATGGACTGCATTTTGAAAAATATGAGGGTGAGGATGTGAATGGATGGATGGATGGATGGATGGATGGGCAAAAAAAGGGTTGTTGTGAAAAGAGGAATCGGGAGACAGAAGGAAGGCCTTTGCCAGAAGTTGACTTTTCTTCTAACGCCCCGCGTCAGAATGGACACTCCACTTTATGGTTGGAGTGCTCCTCCCATCCGTTTTTTACAAGCAGGGTTCCCTAAGGGACGAGGAGCTGGATAATCGATTGGCTAGCCGCCTTGGGAAAAGTCGCGTTTACGATAAGCTTATCGAACCCTGCGCATGCGTGCGTCAGCACAATAGCATAAAACACCAAAATGGTTCTTATCGGTCGGACGCAGGTTTGTATGCGGAGGACCGACTTGAGATTCACGCTCTGCAATACGTTCAAATCGAGTATCGTTTCGAAATCCGAAAGTCTAGAACTAATGCTCCCTTCATCAATTCGCAGGACACTTCCAGAAGTTGGCCCCATGTCTGCCATGTTCCGCTCTGTTCCCACCCCTACGTCAGGTTCATCCAAACTGACCGGACTCCCCCCGGTACCTGAGCACGTCGTATCCGCCATACTCCAACTCGCCATCATCGGTTTCCAATGGATTTCAACCGTCGACCGACTGCATCAAACCACCTCCATATCTAATCTCCATTCTGAAAAACAGCTCGCAAGTCCTGCCTGCCGCCGACGCTGCTGATGGTTGGCCTTCTCGATTTCCGCAAATGATGATGCCGAGAGGATCTAGAGGCCGAACTGGGCCCTGGTGTTCTTGAGCCCGAACCGACTGAGTGGTTTCGATTTGACGCAGTCTTGTCAGACTCTACGCTTCTGGGGATCGCAGTCAGGTTTCGGAGAGTTCCTGATTGCTTGATGGTGGTACCTCGACCCAACTCGACCGGATGGGATCTGAGGGGGTCGAATTCGAGGGACATGCCATGTCGCGAAGCTACCGGCTCCGGCTCCGTGATGATGATCTTGATGTTGTTTGTCTTCTCAAGATTACCCCCGCGGCTTGTACCAAGTTTCCGTTCCTTGTCTTTCTCAGCTATGTACTGCTGCTCACTGCTATAGTCCAGCAGTCTCTCCTCGTCCGCCGCATTTGCGGGTAGGATGGTGGTCGAAGAGGCCCAGAATGGCCGATTCCGATTGTTACGGAAGTCCTTCGCCGGTGCAAAACGCATGTTGGGGGATACGTATTCGGTTGACGGCGAGTTGGAGGTATTGATGGTGTAGCTCGACGGACTCGATTGCCCATCCTCCTGATTCTCAAGATCGTGATCCTGACGAGCTTGATGTATCCTGCTGTACACAATGTAGCAAATAGCTAACAGCAAGATCATCGATCCGGATATCGAAACGACAAGCGCTGGTCGTAGAGGTCCCCGATGTTGGGCAGAGTAGACGATCGAGAAAATAATCAGCGAGGTTGTGAACGAAGCCAGGGAGATTAGAAGCACGACCTCAATCTTGGAAAAGGGGCGATGGCCGCCGATTTGTCGATATCCTTTCGCCAGGTACGAGATTCCAACCATTATGAGAAGGCATATCAGGGTCCTGGTTCATCTGGGAAACGAGAGGATCGACTGGCGGGAAGTAGTCATTTTGATTGTCGAGTGTCCGGAGTTGGGACAACGAGTGTTATAACCCCTAAATGGGCATGTTCACCAGGCCTCCAACAAACCCGTGAGACCGCGAGACAGTGCCATGGGGGTGGCATGGGAGGTTATACCCTCGGGCCAAGCGCGAGTGTGCTGCAAAGAGCGATCATTTACCTTTCCCACCGGATGAAAATGAGCAAATGACAACAATAACCCGGAGCAACCACATGGGCCATGTTGGTGCCATAGGGCTGTGCGGTTCTTTGTCATGGGACCAATAGGAAGTATCGCACGTGCCGCGGTGCCAACTGCGCCTTTGGTTTGCGGTACACTCCCGGACTTGAGCGCGATCTTTCATACTTCAGCTTCATGGCTCATACCAACGACAATCCAGTGAAGGTCGTTGGGTTGGGGCGCCATGCTGACCGGTTGTGTGCTCTTTCAAGAACGGATGGTTGGACACTGTCGCCCCTACTACGAGCTTTCACCACCATCTTTCTGGTTGGTTTGTTATTCCAGAAATCCCCGGGAAAGGATCCAATGACGGACATGACCCATTTCGGGATTCCGCTTACACTACACACCTCCGAAAGGCAACGTCAAAGCTACTGCGGACCGCGCTCACGCTCCGGAAGGTCAGCACACCATAACCGTTGCGACCGCTTCATGTGCCTTTTAGGGCTGTGCATGACGATATCATCTTGGTAGTGAGATATGTTCGATGAGTCAACGAACACCTATTCCTGATAGGTGTTGATCCGGCTTCAACCCCCATCAACTCCGTAGTTAACGTCCCGGGCCATGCCACATTGTTCGGAGTGTATATATAAGCCTCTGGCTTATCTTGCTATCCACCGGGACTTGACCAAGCTTAGACTACGTATGAAGCGCCAACGGACAATCATCACTCATCCGCTAAGAAAAGCTTCCCGGGAGGCCTTCCATTTCCAGAATTCGATCTTTCACACCAAACCAGTCCTTCTCCGGCTCGCAGACACTCCCGATATCCGAGCCCCCCTGGCATTCCATGGAGTCACGTCCGAGTTGACGAAAGGTGCGCAAGATACCTCAACTCCAATTAACCAACAACTCATCTTAGGACCTTCCGATCAATTTCAGACCCCCTCTTGTCATTGAGGCATCTCGAACAGAGCTAAACCCTAACCCTAGCCAACCCAACTTTCTCTTCGGTCTCATTCAAACGGCGGGAATGCCAAGACAAACTATCGGCTCCGAAGGCTCCACCGCGACTACCTTGGTGCGGACACGTTGGCAGTTACAATATAAGGAGATCACGATGAGCTTACCTTCAACAAGGAAGCAAACAAGTAAAACCATAAAATGCGCCAATGGTCTAGTGGTTAGGATTCAACCCTTCCAAGGTTGAGGGGGGGGTTCGATTCCCTCTTGGCGCAACTTTTTCCTACTTTTTTTTCTGTTTTTGTCCTTATGAATACAGTAGTGATGTCGTCAGTTAATGTTAGTGTGATGGCAATCGTTTCTTTTCCTCTCTTTCTTCGATCTCGCTAGCCACAGGTATTTATCCTACTCCCTTTCTCGAGACAGCCTTTGCCGAAACATGGAAAACCACGTTCGAAATCTGGGTAGCTTCCTTCAGACATACGACGAACATGCTTCTATGCACGAAGAACAAGTTATTTCTTTTCCTCTCGAAATACGCATCTCGGACTTAGAATAACGCTATGAGAGCTTACAGACCTACCTTTGGACACTCGGAGAGTATCACCGCCATCCCAACATTTACATTACTACCTAATTTTTCATCACCCGTCTCAAAGTCACGGACCGCAAAACTAGGTAGGTGAGTCACTTACTTAATCTGGTCACGTTTTATCGTGCGTTCTATGTTGTCTGGGATGTATGTTGTCTGGGATGTATGTTGTCTGGGATGTATGTTTTGTCTTGCTGCTTGCTGCAAAGAACGATCAAGGAAACTCTCGTGGTCACGGCACCTATGCGGCTATGCATGTTCTGTTTCTTCGCCAGAGGTAGACATGATATACAGTCACGCGAAGAGACACGAGATTAGCTACTAGCTAGGTAGTGCCATGTAGGTAGGTGTAGTTCGTAAAATACACAAATTCCCCTCTTCTCATCATCCAGCCCATTGTGCAAATTTTCTAGTGTGCTCCAGTCCCTGTTTTGAGCTTCCAGTCCGGAATCGCTGAGTTTTGAACGATACCATGGCCTTCGGATCTCTTACTTCTCTTTGTTATCATTTGTCAAAAGATTTTACGTGCGAGAGCAACCGTAAAAACGAACAAGAACCTGGAAGCGAATGGAAAGGAAGATTGAGAAAAATGTCGGAGTGAACATTGAGATTTCGAGCCCGAGCTGAACCTGGCCCAACATAAGCACCAGTGGTAACGATAACGGTAACGGGAACATCAATAGCAACTACCTGTACAGAAGATAGGCACCCCTGTGTACCGTGGCCATGGTAACAGGAATGTTAGGAGCAAACTACCGTATAATGTCACAGCGTCACGTCATCTACGTCGTCTACGTCACGAAGGGTGTCTCGACGCGTGTGGTTATCCGGTTGTGTGGTGTTGTCGTGGTCCAGTTGCCTGTTCTGAAGTCGGCTTTCTGTTTTGTATCTGCCCACCTACCGTATGGAAGGAAAGGGTGGTACTAAACAGGGTTGAACAGGACATCATGGTGAATATCAGTGACAAGAATGTATCCCGCAAAAGGGGCAAAGCGTGGACAGAAAACTCCACGCGGGCGCTCGACCTGTCTCTGTTCTTGTTGAGAAAATATTGCCGCTTACCTCTAACTGAACCTCCAGTCCTCGCTACTGAGCGTACAACAGGCAGGTGACTCAAAGATCGTACATGATGATCCAGAATAGGTATCACCAATCCACGACTGCTTTCTCCTTTCCTTATACCTACTTCTGTATACCTCTACCTATCCATCTCCTGCTTTCTATTTTCCCACCAGACTGATACAACCCGACTGCAATATCCCGACGGATGAAATGAACAGTGGGAGACTGAGAAGTGACAGTACAACCGAGTGTCCCTAGAGAAGGTTAGGTTATACAACTTCAGCTTCAATGGAAGGTAGAGAGGTATGTAGTTAGTTACAACTGTCACTCTACCACGAAACACAACACAAACACAGCACACAAACACAGCAGCCATAATTCCGCACGCAGCAGCTGAAGAGAGGTAACAAAAGCACAAAGGAAACATGAACAGAGGGGTGGGGAACAGAGCAGAGGCAAGGGGAGAGGGGGCCAAGGTAGGACACCATCAGCAACCTACACGTGGCGAAGGAGTTGCACTGCATTGCACTGCACTGCTTTGTCCTCCCATCCATCATTGAATTTGTGTTTCAGATACATTGCACAAGTGGCTTGGGAGAGGTAACTTGAGTTGAGACCGACTGGAGAGTTACGACTCCAGTCCACATAGAAAGTTCCGCGGATAATCCTAGGGTACCTAGAGATGGATTCCAGGTCGGCGCTTAGGAGGAGGTACCTCTACCTAGATATGGTGATACGTACGATCAGATGGGAGAGGTGGTGTGGGTAGGATAAGTTTCCTAGGTGCTCATTCGTGGTCCTGTGTTTTTGTAAGTTCACTTTCATTCCAACATTGCTGATGTTCGCCTCCAGCTACTTTCCAAATCATGTTCCGTCCTGACGCTGTAGACCAGACCCCCAAGAACTCAATACCTCTAGTCTTCTCCCTTGCCTACCATACCTAGAGCCCCTGACTTCCAACCCACCCCACGAGATGTCTTGCATGTAATGTATCCCAACCTACCTGCCACCCCTTACCTCACCTAACACCAATGGGCTCACCGCATAACGACCGAGATAACTGGAACATAAAAGGATGCCACACGAACGTAACACGACGGCTATATCTATGAATGCATCTGTATCACGCATGTGGTTTTCGCCCGAGTCTTATTGTTGCATGCAACTGAGTACCTACGTAGCGCAGTGTGACGCTGGGTTTTTGTGTCACCGTTGCTTTGCTTTGCTTGCCCGCCTGGCCACGACCAGGTTGTGTTCCGGTATGTGTGAGACGTGAAGTTTTGGGGCGGCGGCAATGGGGAGTAAACAGGAGTAGAGCTAGCGAACAAATTGACCTGGGATATGTTGATCTTGCCAGGTCAGGAAGACTTCAATGGTGTCAGAAGGACTGAGCTTTAGGCGGGAAAAGGGAAGAGGGAAGAGCGGAGAGGGAAGAAACTCTCGGCTTCCCTGGGAGATAGCCTGACCACTCTGAGAAGGACACTCCAGCTTTACCAACGCTTTAGTCCCTCCTGTTTGAATACTGTAAGATATTCGGATACGCCCCAGTATACCGTAATTGTCCAGGACCATGAGAAGCTTTCCCATAGACCTATATCAGAAGGTAGGCTGAACCCATCTCATATACATCCCCAACCAATCGAGAAGACGTACACTCCTCTCACCACAAGCTCGAATCTCAGCTGGTAGTTCTACTGTACTATCCGACGCATTTAATCGAATCCATCGCCAAGGCTATGGCACGTTCGTTCACCTCAGAACGAACCGGAAGCTGGAGACCGGCATTCGAATCCTTCCACATCCCTTCCTTCCTCTCCCACCAGATCCACCTCTTTTCTTTTTCTTTTCTTTTTCTTTTCTTTTTCCTTTCGAGACATACATACATAGGTACCTACTGCTAGATCCCATCGGCCTTTTTTTTTTTTTTTTTTTTTGTGTCCACGAGGGT